GATTATAGGCGTGAGCCACCATGCCGGGCCATCCAGCCCTCTTGATAGGCAGGTGGGGAAACCAGAACAGAACAGAGCCTTTGCAAAGCTGTTCATTCGTTTACTCAACAGAGACTGACTGTCTCTGCTTTCTGCCAGGCACAGTTCTAGGTGCTATGGATATGTATCAGTGATGTATCCCAATAGGCAGGGAAAACCTCTACAGTTGAGGAGGTTATGGGCACTCAGTCCATCCCTCTTGTCCTCGCAGGTGGCCATGGTGGAGGTGCAGCTGGAGAGCGACCACGAGTACCCACCAGGCCTGCTGGTGGCCTTCAGTGCCTGCACCACCGTGCTGGTAGCTGTGCATCTCTTTGCACTCATGGTCTCCACATGTCTTCTGCCCCACATTGAAGCCGTGAGCAACATCCACAACCTCAACTCTGTCCATCAGTCACCACACCAGAGACTGCACCGCTACGTGGAGCTGGCCTGGGGTTTCTCCACTGCCCTGGGCACCTTTCTGTTCCTCGCTGAGGTTGTCCTGGTTGGTTGGGTCAAGTTTGTGCCCATTGGGGCTCCCTTGGACACACCGAACCCCATGGTATCCACATCCCGGGTGCCCGGGACTCTGACACCAGTGGCCACCTCCCCTAGTCCAGCTTCCAATCTCCCACCACCCTCTTCATCCATAGCACCATCCCAGGCTGAGTCAGTCTGCCCACCCCGGCAAGCCTGTGGTGGTGGGGGGGCGCATGGGCCAGGCTGGCAAGCAGCCATGGCCTCCACAGCCATCATGGTACCTGTGGGGCTTGTGTTTGTGGCCTTTGCCCTGCATTTCTACCGCTCCTTAGTGGCACACAAGACTGACCGCTACAAGCAGGAGCTGGAAGAGCTGAATCGCCTGCAGGGGGAGCTGCAGGCTGTGTGAGGCTGGTGTTAGCCACCGCTGCAAGCACTGCCTCCCTCCGGGGTAGACCTCAAGGGCCTACAGACCCCTCAAGGGTCTGTAGGCCCTCATTCCTCCCATCCCCCGGCTGGAGCCACTTCCAGTGGCCACTCTCAGGTAGAGGTCAGATTCCTGCCTGCAGGGTCCTTTGGGCCTTGGGGCAGCTCCCACATTCCCTGGGATTTTCCCCATAAGTCTGTCCCTTGGGTTTTGCAAGCTACTCTGCGCCTGGGCTGGCCTCAGTTGAAGGGTCATGCAGTAGATAGAGGAGAGGCGGGGAGACCTTGTGGGACCTTCGGTTGTGACCTCAACCACCATTTCCATTCCTATACAGGATGTGAAGGTCAGAAGGCAGCCAGCCCATGCTTTAATTTTTTTTTTTTTTTTTTTTTAAGACAATCTCCCTCTGTTGCCCAGGCTGGAGTGCAGTGACACAGTCACAGCTAACTGTAGCCTCAACCTTCCAGGCTCAAGAGATCCTCCCACCCCAGCCTCCCAGGTAGCAAGACGCTGGTACTATAGACACACACTGCCACACCTGATTAATTTTTTTCTTTTTCTTTTTTTTTTTTTGTAGAGATGGGGTTTTGCCATGTTCCAAGGCTGGTCTCAAATTCCTGAGCTCAAGTGAACCTCCTGTCTCAGCCTCCCAAAGTGCTGGGATTCCTTCCTTTATTTTTGTAGAATCTATTTTTATCGTTGGCATTTTTGGGGAAGATTTTCTCCATCCCTAGATTTTGATGCGTTCCACATTCCACATTCTTGCTTTAGTTGTTGCAGAGGGATTTGGGTGTTTCTATCCCAGGCATTGGTCTGGCTTTTCCTACGATGAGCCTCCCTATCTTTGGAGGTTCAAGCTCCCCTGCTTCCCCCACCGTGGCGACCTGCGGCCAATCACAGGAGGGATGGTGCCTGACCCACTGCCCTAGCCCCATGCTATGCACCAAACTTGTTCTCCCCTTCCTGGGCCAGGGCTGGGGTCTTTAGAGACAGCCTGTGCACCAGGCCTGACTCCTTAGCAAGAGTTGGGTGAGGAGGTTTTAAGGGAGAAGGTCCAGTCCTTAGCCCTTGGAACACAGAGTTCTTCTGACAGTGAATTTGGATGCACCTTGTTTTGCATAATAAATCGTGTTTCACAGATGTCCCTGTTGCTGTGAATGGAATGCAGGGCAGGACTTCTTAGGATAACTTGACTTGTTTCAAAGAGCTGGGTGGTGGCAAGTTTGGGTGGGCAAGACCTGAGAGGGGAGTGGGTTCCAGGTGTGACCCTACTAACAGGGACCAAATGATAACAGGGGCCAACAGCTTCTGAATGGGGAGAATTATTCCAAGGCTACAGGCTTTGAACTCTTGTCCCTGAGTTCATGGTCTCTATCTCTTCCACTGAGTATTTGTTTTCTTTCTTTTATTTTTATTTTTTTGAGAGAGTCTCGCTCTGTCACCCAGGCTGGACTGCAGTGATGCGATCTTGGCTCACCGAAACATCTGTCTCCTGGATTCAAGCAATTCTCCTGCCTCAGCCTCCCAAGTAGCTGGGATTACAGGTGTGTGCCACCACACCTGGCTAATTTTCATATTTTTAGTAGATTTTTAGTAGACATGGATTTTCGTCATGTTGGCCCAGGCTAGTCTCTCTCAAGCTCCTGATCTCAGGTGATCCACACACCTTGGCCTCCTAAAGTGCTGAGATTACAGGCATGAGCCACTGCACTCAGCCCTCCACTGAGTATTTAAGTTTTTCTTTCTTTTTGAGACAGAGTCTCACTCTTTTGCCCAGGCTGGAGTGCAGTTGTGTAATCTTGGCTCACTGCAGTCCTGACCACCCAGTTAGTATCTTTTTTTTTTGTAAAGAGGAGGGTCTCACTATTTATTTATTTATTTAGAGACAGAGTCTTACTCTGTCACCAGGCGCCAGGCTGGAGTACAGTGGCATGACCTTGGCTCATTGCAACCTCCGCCTCCCGGGTTCAAGCAATTCTCCTGCCTCAGCCTCCTGAGTAGCTGGGACTACAGGCACACACCACCACGCCCAGCTAATTTTTTTGTATTTTTAGTAGAGATGGGTTTCACCACGTTGGCCACGATGGTCTCGATCTCTTGACCTCTGCCCACCTTGGCCTCCCAAAGTGCTGGGATTACAGGCATGAGCCACCGTGCCTGGCCTGGGTCTCACTATGTTGTCCAGGCTGGTCTTGAATTCCTGGGCTCAAGTAATCCTGTCGCCTTGGCCTCTGAAAGTGCTGAGATTACCAGTGTGAGCCACTGCACCTGGCCTCAAATTTCTTTCTTGAGCAACTACCATATACTAGGGGCCCTTCATAGGTTATCTTGTTTAACTCCCACAACACCTCAAGCAATAAGTCTTTACCATTTTCATTTCAGAGATAAGGAAACAGCCCCAACAAGGCTGAAGATCTTGCCCCAAACCACGCAGCTAGTCCATGAACCTGAACTTGGACTATCCTTTTTTTTTGAGACGGAGTTTTGCTCTTGTTACCCAGGCTGGAGTGCAATGGCGCGATCTCGGCTCACCGCAACCTCCGCCTCCTGGGTTCAGGCAATTCTCCTGCCTCAGCCTCCTGAGTAGCTGGGATTACAGGCACGTGCCACCATGCCCAGCTAATTTTTTGTATTTTTAGTAGAGACGGGGTTTCACTGTGTTGACCAGGATGGTCTCGATCTCTTGACCTCGTGATCCACCCGCCTCGGCCTCCCAAAGTGCTGGGATTACAAGCTTGAGCCACCGCGCCCGGCCTTTTTATTTTTTAATTTTTTTTATTTTTTTTTATTTTTTGAGATGGAGTCTTGATCTGTTGCCCAGGCTAGAGTGCAATGGCTCGATCTTGGCTCACTGTAACCTCTGCCTCCCGGGTTCAAGTGATTCGCCTGCCTCCGCTTCCTGAGTAGCTGGGACTACAGGCGCCCACAACTGCACTCAGCTAATTTTTGTATTTTTAGTAGAGACGGGGTTTCGCCACGTTGGCCAGGCTGGTTTCGAACTCCTGACCTCAAGTAACCTCGGCCTCCCAACCTACTGGAATTACAGGCGTGAGCCAACGCCCCTGGACTGAACCTGGACTATCTTTACCCCTCACATGGGAATCTCTCTCTCTTTGAGAAAAAGAACCAGTGCCTTTAAACTAGAACAGAAAGGAATCTGATCTCAACACCTATGCCTCCACATAAATTAATTTTTTCAGCCTTATTTTCCTCAAAATTTTAGAGTCCTAATCTTTTATCTTGTGATGTGAGACCTTGGATACGTCTCCTTTCACCTTTTGCTATTACTTAAAATGGTGAATCTGCATAAAACCGGCGCTAAGGGCCTTTTCCGCACTGTTAGGATGTCTACAAATTGACAGCCAAGTTTAGAGGAAGACTCTGACAGAGAGGTCAATGCTTTGCCCAAGGTCACATAGTGAGGGCCTAATGTACACATACATGGAGCCTAGGGCATCCTCAGCTCAGGAAGAGGGGCCTCCTGAGAGTACCTGCGTCCACCCAGGATAAAAAGGATGCCCAGCCTCAAGGCGACCTCAGCCCGAGTTCCAGGTGTAGGCCTGGGCCGGTGCTGCCCTCGTGCGGAGGGATCCCGTGAGCTTAGCGTGCCACAGCCGAAAAAGCGGGCACCGGGACCATGACGTAAGGAGGACTCACCAGCCCAGCTCCGTTCCTCTAGGACCTCGTTTACTACTTATTACAAGGCCCACTTAAGGACACTTAAACCCACTAGAGGCTCATCAGAAAACCTTCAGGCAGGTCCCTGGATTTAACCACTAATGGCGGGTTCTACAGGCCTCAATCTCCCCCATCTGGCAAATGGGCATCCTAAGCAGCCAGAGGCCCAAGCAGGATAACGGGAAGGAAAGGCTACCGGCATTTATGTGTAAGGCCGGGTAAACCGCCTGAGTCACCGCTGGCCGTTGTGTTTTTCCACCTCCCGGCCGCCCCTCCCAGCCGGGTGGGTCCTGGTGGGCCCTCCCGGAGGCGCCCCCGCGCCTCGGGTTGCGCACGCCCTGGCCACGCCCCTCGCCTCGGCTCCGCCCACAGCAGAATCAGCAGATTCGCCAGACGGAATCCTCAGAATTCCTCGGGTCCCTCTGTGGTCGGCTGAAAATTCTCTTCGGACTCTGAGAGGCGTTCTGGGCTGGAGACATTTTCCCCAGGGTCAGAAGCGAGCTATCCTCTCAAATGGGCCAGTAAGAAAAATCCAGAAAAACTTGTGGACTCTGCCAGCAGGGCTTGGCTAACCGGCCGTTATTTTCTTGACTCCACCAAGGCGATGAAGGGGAGGCTACGGCTGAGGCTGGGAACAGTGGCGAATCTGCAGCCTCTTAGACCTTTGGCCGTGCAAGGAAGGGACGGGGAAGAAGAGCAAAGCGGCGCGCATCCTGTGCACCGATTCGCCCCGCCCGCCCGGCGAATCTGCGTCTACCGAACGCGGCACTGAAGCTTCCCCAGTACTGGCTGGCCTCCTCCCCTTCGCCCCGCCTCTTTTCCTCAGGGACTAGTCGCAGCGTTCGTCGCCGCCGATTCATCAAGCACCCTGGGCTGCAGCATCTGGATCGTGGTGGCGAAGCCCACTCTCCGGGGGATGCGGCCAATCTCCAGGCTCCCTGGGCCGCAAATCCCGAGCCATCTAGGGCGCCGGCCGAGACGAGGCCGCTATCCCCGGCCCCGTGGGGCCCCCAGCAGCGCCCGTGGCGAAAGTGCGAATGCAGACTTTGTGCCCGCTGGGCCTCGCGCAGGTGGCGGTGGTGTTTGGTGCGCGCGCCGGGGAGGTGGTGGTGGGGGGGCGCCGCCGCCGCCACCGCTGCGGGGCCGGGTCTCGCGCTGCCGCTGCCACCGCCTCGCGCCACTGAGGTGCCGCGCGGGGTGGGGGGAGGGGGAGCCGCTCGCCGGGAGCGGGTGAGTGGGGCCGCACGGAGCGCGTGCGCGGAGATCTGATGGGGGGGGTGCAGAACGCGCCGGGGCGGGAGAGGAGGGCAGCAGCGGCGCGCGTTCCCCCCACCCCCTGCCCGGGTTCGGGGCCGAAGCCGGGTCTCGGGCTCGGTCTCGCGGTGTTTCCAACGCCCCGAAGAGGTGCCACCTTTCGGCCGGCGGATCGGGGCGCGGGGACGCGAGCCGGGTGTGTGGGAGCCGTGGCCGGGCTCGGCCCGGGCCGCTGGCCGGTGAGGAGGCGGGAGGGGGCGGGGCCTGCAGGGGGCGGGGGAAGGGTCTTGCGCCGAGGCCAAGTGGGGCGCGCGCTAGGGAGAGCGGGAAGGTAAGGGGGCTCGAGACGGGCCTGGGGGCCTGACGGTGGAGTTGGGAGGTGGAGAGAGGCTGGGTTGTTGTGGTCGAGACACAGGGTACTTAGGGTAGAATCTGCGGGAGCCCCGGGTCCGAGTGAGGGTTGGAAACTTGAGTGATGAGAGAACCTGGAATTGGGGCTGGCCAATGAGGAACCTCAGAGGAGTCAGGCCCAAGTCCTGACCCTTCCTGCGTATCCCCCTTTCCCTAACAGTGTAAATGAGCAAAGATGGATCAGGAAGGTGGGGGAGATGGGCAGAAGGCCCCGAGCTTCCAGTGGCGGAACTACAAGCTCATCGTGGATCCTGCCTTGGACCCTGCTCTGCGCAGGCCTTCTCAGAAGGTGTACCGCTATGACGGAGTCCACTTCAGTGTCAACGTGAGTGCCCGGGCCTTTCCTTGCCATCCGGGGGGTTCCAGGCACCCCTGTCCGCTGTGACTCCGTTCAGCACCTAGAACTCCTGTCCCAGTAGCCTGCCTTCTTGAAAGTGGGCAGTTGAACCCAGCTCTTTTGCATGTGCGGGTCCAGATGGGCTTCTTAGACTTCCCCCGCCTGGGTTCACCCTGAGCTCTCTTTCTGTTCCTGCTTTCCTTCCTAGGACTCAAAGTATATACCAGTCGAAGACCTCCAAGACCCCCGTTGCCATGTCAGGTCCAAAAACAGAGACTTTTCCCTCCCAGTTCCTAAGTTTAAGGTAGGTGTCTGCTGGGCTTCTGGTGTGGGAATCCTGGGAGGGTGTGGAGGATGCATCTTGGCACTGTAGCTGAATAAAAGGGTTTCCAGTGAAAGGGTCCCAGCCAGATCTAGGAAACTCTGAGGCTGTGAGACTCAGTTGTTCTGGATAAGAGGTACACTTTGTTTTCTAGAAAGGTACAGGTCAGGTGTCCTAAGTGTATCCCTGGTGGCTAGAGTGTTGACTTGTTGAATGATGAGGTAAAGACTGTTTAGCTGCTATACCTATTACTGTGTATTCATGGACAGCGCATAGCACAGCAGTGGGATCTCCCTGTTCCTTGACAGGCAAGGGGAATGACAAGGCCGCTGCCTGCTTGGATTGCACTGTTCCCCACCTCTCATTTGGTGATGTCATTTCCATCTTGTTTCTTTGGAGGACTCCCATTCCCTACCCGAGGCAGGATACTCAACAGGCCTCGAACTGGGCCTGGGACAGTGATGGTTCTTCGTTTCCCTCTCTGATTCTTTATTTTATTCTTCATTTCTAAATGAATTGTCTACGAGGTCCCATCAGTATTCTTCTTTTTCTTCTTCTTCTTTTTTTTACTTTGTACACTTTTCCTGGACAATCTCTTTCACACCCACAGCTTCAACTATTAGCTAAATGTTGATGACTTCCAAATGTGTTTCCAGCCAACATCTCCTGGCTTGTATGCCTGGTAGGGGGACAGTTTCATTTGGAGTCCCCACAGACATCTCAGACTTAAGAGATTTGAAACAAATTATCTACCCCCTTAACCTTGCTTTTTCATTTTCTGTCTGCTTATGCAAGGCAGTACCATCAACTCAGCTGCACAGCCTGGCAGCCTATGATTCTCTCTCCTTTTCTCTTGCAATCAGTCACTAAGTCCTGCTGGCTCTTTTTATTCTTCATCTTTCTGTTCTCATTGCTGTTTAATGGAGACCTTGGTATTAATTTTATCTGGTCTCCTTGCCTTCATTCTTGCCCCTGTTTCTGCTCCGCCCTGCTGTCATTTGTCTCTTTGACTTCACTGCTTTTCTATTTTCCTTTTGTTGCCAAGTCCATGTTTTGGGGCGTTGGCACTTGGGTTATTGATCTGGACAAGCCTTATCCTCTGCCTTGACAGCACACTCCTGTGTTACATCCACACCATATGCTTTGCAGTTTTTCAAAAACACCAAGTTGTTTTTATACTTGGGGTCCATGTCATTTAATGAACCCCTGTTAATAACCAAATCTCAGTAAAAATGACACCATTTTTATGTATCCTCCCTAATTCTACTCCGTACAAAGGTTTTCTTCTTTGGGCTCTGGAACCCCCAGTCTCCACCTCCACCGCCGCCGTGTTATGTGTTTGTGTGTGTATGTCTTGCTACTTTTCTGTATGGGAATCTCTTCCTTTCCATCTCTGTATTTCTGGTGCCTTGTTTACGGTAGCGTAAAGGCTGAGCTAGGAAATCATCACCCTGCAGCTTGTTCTCTCCACATATGTTTATTCTTCAGTTTGTACATTTCTTTCTTTTTTTTTTGAGATAGAGTCTTGCTCTGTCGCTCAGGCTGCAGTGCAGCGGTGCGATCTCAGCTCAGTGCAACCTCCGCCTCCCGGGTTCAAGCGATTCTCCTGCCTCAGCCTCCTGAATAGCTGGGATTTCAGGTGCCCACCACCATGCCCAGCTAATTTTTTTTTTTTTTTTTGTATTTTTACAAAATACAAAAGGGTTTTACCGTGTTGGACAGACTGGTCTTGAACTCCTCACCTCTTGTGATCCACCCACCTCAGCCTCCCAAAGTGTTGGGATTACAGGCATGAGTCACTGCGCCTGGCCCAATTTGTACATTTCTGTTCCTGGTTCTCGCCTTTATTCTATGGTGAGAAGAATTCAGGGAAAAAGGGTCAAGTCTGACACATCCCTTATTGTGGCCCCCTTCCCTTGCCCCTCAGTTTCCCAGACCTCTCTCTTGACTTCCTGGAGCTTGCTAAAGTTTCCCAAAGGGCAAAGGAACAGTGGTCAGTGTTGAGACCCCAGACCAACTCCTGTTCTTTCCCCAGCTGGACGAGTTCTATATTGGACAGATTCCACTGAAGGAAGTGACTTTTGCAAGACTGAATGACAACGTGCGGGAGACCTTCCTGAAGGATATGTGCCGTAAGTACGGTGAGGTGGAAGAGGTGGAAATCCTCCTTCACCCCCGTACACGCAAGCACCTGGGCCTGGCCCGTGTGCTCTTCACCAGCACTCGCGGTGCCAAGGAAACGGTCAAAAACCTCCACCTTACCTCCGTCATGGGCAACATCATCCATGCCCAGCTTGACATCAAAGGTGAGGACTCCTCCACCTGCCACTCAGGCTTGGCCTGTAGCCGAGTTGTACACTCAAATGCCTGTCAGGGTCAGGCAGGCAGCCAGGGTCATGATCTGAAACTACTGAGGCCAGGTGTGTTTCTGAAATCAGATCTGATTTTAGAGTGGAATTACTGTACATGGATTTGTATGTGTGTGGTGTCTCCAGCAAGGTTGGGCAGTACGCCATAATCAACCACATAACTGTAGCAGTAAAAAAAAAAAACCATATGAAAGGTTGTACTAGGTTGGACAGACAGATGATAGCCCAGGTCATGTTGGTTGGTTGGTTGGTTGGTTTTTGAGACAGGATCCTGCTCTGTCACCCAGGCTGGAATGCAGTGGCGTGATCTTGGCTTGCTGCAGCCTCCAGCTCCTGAGCTTAGCTGCCCCAGCCTCCGGAGTAGCTGGGATTACAGGCATGCACCCCTACTCCTAGCCAATGTTTTTTTGATTCTTTGCAGAAATGAAGTCTCACTACGCTGCCTAGCCTGTTTGTTTTTAATTTTTCTTTTTTTGGGGGTGGCGGGGACAGAATCTTGCTCTGTTGCCCAGGCTGGAGTACAGTGGCATGATCTTGGCTCACTGCAACCTCCACCTCCAGGGTTCAGGCAATTCTCCTGCCTCAGCTTCCTGAGTACCTGGGATTACAGGTGTGCACCACCATGCCTAGCTGATTTTTGTATTTTTAGTAGAGATAGGGTTTCACCCTGTTAGCCAAGTTGGTCTTGAACTCCTGACCTCAAGTGATCCATCATCTCTGCCTCCCAGAGTGCTGGGATTACAGGCATGAGCCATCGTGCTTGGCCTGTTTTTAATTTTTCTATATGCTGTTCTATAATCTGTATAGGTTTTGATGCCAGATTCTCAGAAATACTGGATTTTCTGGGTTCTTTTTGGTTTGGAAATTTGAGATAGAGAGTAAGAGAACTGTGAACGCAAGTGAGGTGGTCTGGGCTTCTGTGTTGAGTGATGGGGAGCAGTGAGGTCCTTGGTGAGCTGCAGATTGCAGCATGGTCTGGAGGAGACAGCTGTTGGGCATTGGTCATTTTGCAATTGGGAGTGAGTTTTAACATTCCTGAATTTGATTTGTAAAAGAAAGTCCGAGCTGAGGCTCGGTGGCTCACGCCTGTAATCCCAACACTTTAGGAGGCCATGGTGGGCAGATCACCTGAGAACAGGAGTTCGAGACCAGCCTGGCCGACATGATGGAACCCCATTTCCATTAAAAATGCAAAAATTAGCCAGACGTGGTGGTTCACGCCTAAATAATTCCAGCTACTCTGAGTCATGAGAATCACTTGAACCTGGGAGGTGGAGTTTGTATCGTGCCACTACACTCAAGCCACAAATCTGGGTTTTTATGTGAAATCTCGTGGTTTTTAGATATTACTGTTTCCTTCCTACAAGGTGTTTCTGAGGTGTTCATCCCACTGCACCTGCAGGCTCAGTTAGGCCCTGGGCTGCTCTTCTGCAGGCTTTAGTTAACAGGATAAAGAGCATGGGGCGATCGAGCCTCTGGGTTTGAATTCCAGCTCTTCCACACCAATTCTGTGACTGTGTGTAGGTCACTTTTAATTCTGTGATTTTTGTGTAGGTCACTATAGAATAGTGGTATGATGCTTCCCTTCTGGTGATCCAACATGATAAAATAGGTAGAAGTATTTTTCGGAAATCATGAAGTGTCATAAAATACGTTGTTTGTGGTAGTTCAGAGGTAGAAGGCCCCAAAGTTAGAGTTATGGTAGGAGAAATAAAATCCTGAAACCCAGACTCCCAAGAAATAGTAGGAAACTTGAGACCTGAGAAAGAAGCAGGAATACCAGATCAGGAAGGAATTGGTTTCTCCATCTGACAATTGGTTCCCATTTCCCTCCTTCCAGGACAACAACGAATGAAATACTATGAACTAATTGTCAATGGCTCCTACACCCCTCAGACTGTGCCCACTGGGGGCAAGGCCCTGAGTGAGAAGTTCCAAGGCTCGGGTGCAGCCACTGAGACGGTGAGAAGCTTGTGGCTGCCACAGCCCAAGCCATGTGGGCATGGCGCCCAGGTGCCTGGAGCAGGAGCAGTCTTTGGGAGGTTCCGGGCTTCCACGTTAAATATAAGAAGAGCCAAGCAAAGCTGCTTAGATGCTTTCAAAAGACAGGGAACTGGGATTTCTGATTTGGGGAAGGGCAGGTTTTCAAGTGGTATTTGAGCCCATTCCTCTCTCCTTGCCCTGCTCTGTCCCTCCAGGCTGAATCCCGCCGCCGCCCTTCCTCTGACACGGCCGCCTACCCACAAGGCACTGCTGCAGTGGGCACTCCTGGCAATGGCACCCCCTGCTCCCAGGACACAAGCTTCTCCAGCAGCCGCCAAGATACTCCATCTTCCTTTGGCCAGTTCACCCCTCAGTCCTCCCAAGGCACCCCCTACACGTCTCGGGGCAGCACCCCCTACTCTCAGGACTCCGCCTACTCCAGCAGGTACAGAGCAGACCCCATCTGGGGCCCCGCCCACAGCGTCTGGGAGCTGCCACTGGGAAGAAGAAACCCAGAGTCTCTCCAAGAGGGAGTTGGAAATAATTTGTCCTAGTTTCTCTGTGGAATCAGTCAACAAATTGCTGTCCTTGGGGAACACACTAGATAGGAACCCAACATGTAGCTCTTCTTTGGAGGGCAGCATAGAGGGGCTTTGGGCCCTGGGACCCAGGACGCTCTGGTTTGGTCGTAGAGAGCTGAGCCCAGCTAACTCCCCCGCTTCTTCTCCAGCACCACTTCAACCTCCTTCAAGCCCCGGCGGTCAGAGAACAGCTACCAAGATGCCTTTTCCCGCCGCCATTTCTCTGCATCTTCAGCCTCCACCACCGCCTCCACGGCCATCGCCGCCACCACAGCAGCCACCGCTGCAGCCTCCTCCTCTTCCTCCTCATTGTCCTCGTCCTCCTCCTCGTCCTCTTCCTCCTCGTCCTCTCAGTTTCGTAGTTCTGACTCAAACTACCCAGCGTATTATGAAAGCTGGAATCGCTACCAGCGCCATGCTTCCTACCCACCCCGCCGAGCCACGCGGGAGGATCCCCCTGGAGCCCCTTTTGCTGAAAATACAGCCGAGCGCTTCCCACCTTCCTACACCTCCTACCTGCCCCCCGAGCCCAGCCGGCCTGCTGACCAGGACTACCGGCCTCCTGCCTCAGAGGCTCCGCCCCCGGAGCCTCCAGAACCTGGTGGAGGTGGAGGTGGAGGAGGGCCCAGCCCTGAGAGAGAAGAAGCTCGGACTTCCCCCCGCCCAGCCTCACCTGCTCGCTCTGGCTCCCCAGCCCCGGAGACCACCAATGAGAGTGTGCCCTTCGCCCAGCACAGCAGCCTGGATTCCCGCATTGAGATGCTGCTGAAGGAGCAGCGCTCCAAGTTTTCTTTCCTGGCCTCTGACACGGAGGAGGAGGAAGAGAACAGCAGTGTGGGCCCTGGGGCCAGAGATGCAGGGAGCGAGGTGCCTTCCGGGTCAGGGCATGGGCCCTGCACACCCCCTCCAGCCCCAGCTAATTTTGAAGATGTGGCACCTACAGGGAGTGGGGAGCCAGGGGCCACCCGGGAGTCTCCCAAGGCCAACGGACAGAACCAGGTGAGGGTGGGGTCAGCCAGAGGAGGCACCTGGGCTCTGGGGGACAGGGTAGGGTCTAGGGGAAAGGGAAGGGAACGAGATGGGAAAGTAGGGCTGGGACGGGCAGAAGCCTCTGATCCTCCTCTGCCCTCACAGGCTTCTCCATGCTCTTCTGGAGACGACATGGAGATCTCCGATGACGACCGGGGTGGCTCACCCCCGCCGGCCCCGACACCCCCTCAGCAGCCTCCCCCACCTCCCCCTCCCCCACCTCCTCCTCCTCCCTACCTGGCATCCCTTCCCCTTGGTTATCCTCCCCACCAACCTGCCTACCTCCTCCCACCCCGACCTGATGGGCCGCCGCCCCCTGAGTATCCCCCACCTCCTCCACCGCCTCCTCACATCTATGACTTTGTGAACTCCCTGGAGCTCATGGACCGACTCGGGGCTCAGTGGGGAGGGATGCCCATGTCCTTCCAGATGCAGACCCAGATGTTAACTCGGCTCCATCAGCTGCGGCAGGGCAAGGGATTAATTGCTGCCTCGGCTGGTCCCCCTGGTGGGGCCTTTGGGGAGGCCTTCCTCCCATTCCCACCCCTGCAAGAGGCAGCCTACAGCTTGCCCTATGCTCTGTATGCACAGGGACAGGAGGGCAGAGGGGCATACTCACGGGAGGCCTACCACCTGCCCATGCCCATGGCAGCTGAGCCCCTACCCTCTTCCTCACTCTCGGGAGAGGAGTCCCGGCTGCCACCCAGGGAAGAAGCAGAGCTGGCAGAGGGCAAGACCCTCCCAACGGCAGGCACCGTGGGCCGCGTGCTTGCCATGCTGGTCCAGGAGATGAAGAGCATCATGCAGCGAGACCTCAACCGCAAGATGGTGGAGAATGTGGCCTTCGGAGCATTTGACCAGTGGTGGGAGAGCAAGGAGGAGAAGGCCAAGGTGAGGCCAGCGCCTGGGACCGGGGAGCCCTGGGCTCTGCAGAAGGAAATGGGCCTCTGGCTCCTCCAGGCTGCAGAGCTCAGAGGAAACAGGTGATGGAGGCTAGTGGAGAGAGGCCACAGGCCTTCAGGGCCACCCTGGCTGGGCAGGGGAGTTGGGGGGGTACAGAAAAGCAAGCATGGACGGGCCTGGGAGGCAGCATAACTTTTTCCTTGGCTCCATTGCGTGCTTGCGATGGACAAGGCCCTTAGGTCTCTTTGAGCTTTGGTCTTCCATTTTGCCACTTGTGAAGTGGAAATAGTAGCTATTTCTTAAGGCTGGTGGGTGACATGAGCAGACTTTTAAGATAATGCCGTGTGGGGGCTGGGACAGGTGTGACCAAGATATGGAGCAGCAAGTAGATGCGTTCTGTATTCCTGGGGTCCGGGAGTAGGTCTCAGGCAGGAGGGAATGCCTGGGTTCTGGGCGCTGGGGCTCAGCCCCACTGCTGCCTGCAGCCATTCCAGAACGCGGCCAAGCAGCAAGCCAAGGAGGAGGATAAAGAGAAGACGAAGCTCAAGGAGCCTGGCTTGCTGTCCCTCGTGGACTGGGCCAAGAGTGGGGGCACCACAGGCATTGAGGCCTTCGCCTTTGGGTCAGGGCTGCGAGGGGCCCTGCGGCTGCCTTCATTCAAGGTACTCAGAACTGTTGTTTTGTGGGGTCGGGTGGGGAAAGGAAGATGGGGCCCCCTTCCTTGGGGTAGGGGTGGTCAGGAACCATGAGTGTTCGTGTTTTTTGTTTCTGTTTTTGAGACAGAATCTTGCTCTGTCACCCAGGCTAGAGTGCAGTGGTATGATCTCGGCTCACTGCAACCTCTGCCTCCCGGGTTCAAGCAATTCTCCTGCCTCAGCCTCCTGAGTAGCTGGGACTACAGGCGCATGCCACCATGCCCAGCTAATTTTTGTATTTTTAGTAGAGACGGGGTTTCACTATGTTGGCTAGGCTGGTGTCGAACACCTAACCTCAAGTGATCCACCCGCCTTGACCTCCTAAAGTGCTGGGATTACAGGCGTGAGCCACCTCACCTGGCCTGAGTGTTTGAGTTCTAAATAGGCCCCATCTTTTCCCTATCCTCTAGGTAAAGCGGAAAGAGCCATCGGAAATTTCCGAGGCCAGTGAGGAAAAGAGGCCGCGTCCCTCCACTCCCGCTGAGGAAGATGAAGACGGTGAGCAGGGTCAGGCATAGGGAGAAGGGGTGGGCTGTGTGGGTTCTGATGGGAAAGCAAGAGGTGGGGATGAAGGGGTTGGGTCATCCTGAAGGCAGAGCCGGATGGAGGTGCAAGGTTAAGATGCAGCAGTTCTGAGAGGTGTGGGATGCACCATGGAGGGTTGGTTATCCCTGGATTGTAGTTGCAGGTCTTCCTCTGGTCTGCTGATTTAAGTTTTCTGTATTTTAGGTTTTTCCATCCCTGAAATTCAGTGTCTGCAATCACAGAGTTCTGAGTTAAATGAGCCATTTCCCCAAGTTTCCCACCTGATGCTTATGCTCTCCTACCACTTTCCTCCCAGTTTGCCGGACTTTGAACCCTTGCTTGATAGCTACCGTGGCCAGGAAACTTCCCTATTGAGTCAGACTGCTTGCCTGGACACCCGCTGGTGTTCATACTCTTTTCTTGGGCCAGGCATAACAAGTCAGCTCCCTCTTCCACCCCACCAGAAAATGTCACAAGATCAAATGTGTGGGACATGTTTAAAACTGTGTGGCTGCGGCTGGGCGCGGTGGCTCAAGCCTGTAATCCCAGCACTTTGGGAAGCCAAGGCGGGTGGATCACGAGGTCAAGAGATCAAGACCATCCTGGTCCACATGGTGAAACCCCGTCTCTACTAAAAACACAAAAAATTGGCTGGCATGGTGGCGCGTGCCTGTAATCCCAGCTACCCAGGAGGCTGAGGCAGGAGAATTGCCTGAACCCAGGAGGTGGAGGTTGTGGTGAGCCGAGATCGCACCATTGCACTCCAGCCTGGGTAACAAGAGCGAAACTCCGTCTCAAAAAAAAAAAACAAAACTGTGTGGCTGGGCGCAGTGGCTCCCTCCTGTAATCCCAGCACTTCCAGAAGCTGAGGAAGGAAGATCACCTGAGGTTAGGAGTTGAAGACCAGCCTGGCCTACATGGCGAAACCCTGTCTCTACTAAAAATACAAAACGTAGCCAGGCATGGTGGTGTGCATCTGTAATCCCAGCTACTTGGGAGGCTGAGGCACAAGAATCACTTAAACCCAGGAGGTAGAGGTTACAGTGAGCCAAGATCATGCCACTACATTCTAGCCTGAACAATAGCGTGAGACTGTGTCTCAAAAAAAAAAAAAAAAAAAAAAAAGCTGGGTGCAGTGGCTCACACCTGTAATCCCAGCACTTTGGAAGGCCAACGTGGGCAGATCACGAGGTCAAGATTGAGACCATCCTGGCCAACATAGTGAAACCCTGTCTCTACTAAAAATATAAAAATTAGGCCGGGCACGGTGGCTCAAGCCTGTAATCCCAGCACTTTGGGAGGCCGAGGCGGGTGGATCACGAGGTCGAGAGATCGAGACCATCCTGGTCAACATAGTGAAACCCCGTCTCTACTAAAAATACAAAAAACTAGCTGGGCGTGGTGGCGCGTGCCTGTAATCCCAGCTACTTAGGAGGCTGAGGCAGGAGAATTGCTTGAACCCAGGAGGCGGAGGTTGCGGTGAGCCGAGATCGCGCCATTGCACTCCAGCCTGGGTAACGAGCGAAACTCCGTCTCAAAAAAAAAAAAAATACATATATATAAAAATTAGCTGGGCATGGTGGTGCACACCTGTAGTCCCACTACTGGGGAGGCTGAGGCAGAAGAATCACTTGAACTAGGGTGACGAAGGTTGCAGTGAGCTGAGATCGTGCCACTGCACTCCAGCTGCAGTCCCAGCACTTCAGGAGGCTGAGGCAGGAGGATAGCTTGAGTCTGGCAGGTTGAGGCTGCAGTGAGCTGACAGAGTAAGACTGCATCTCAGAAACAAAAATAAAACTATGAAACATGAGGTAACTGTGAGGTGTTTGTATTTCTCTGCTGAGCTTCCAAATTCTCATCTGTAAAATGAATCCCATCGGAAGATTGGTAATTGTGTATGTAAAGCCTCTTGCACAGAGCAGGTATCTGGTGGTTGATAGTAAATTTCCCCAACTCTCACTCTGCTGGCCTAGATCCTGAGCGAGAGAAGGAGGCTGGAGAGCCTGGACGTCCGGGGACCAAGCCCCCGAAGCGGGACGAAGATCGAGGCAAGACCCAGGGCAAGCACCGAAAATCCTTTGCTCTGGACAGTGAAGGCGAGGAAGCATCCCAGGAGTCCTCTTCAGAGAAGGTGAGGGCCCTGGCACCAGCTCCCAGCCAAAGCCTACTTCCCCATAGCCAGCATTTCTGGCTGGAGCCCAGGCAGCTATGCCTCGTGGAAGACCAGGTGTCTCCTTCCTGTTAGTCCCCATTTGTCCTTTTTCTTAAGGATGAGGAGGATGATGAGGAAGATGAAGAAGATGAAGATCGAGAGGAAGCTGTGGATACCACAAAGAAGGAGACTAGGGCATCAGATGGTGAGCACAGACAGCAGAATCGACTTTGGGCTTGGAGGAGGGAAGCTGCCTGGCCAGCTCTTTTCTGAGCCCACATTCTTTCCTGCTGGGCTTGTGGGTCACCTTTGTCCTCCTCGAGAGCATCTGTTTGTACCACATTCTTAGGAACCCTTGGCCCCTTGACAACAATAAGCTCAGTGCTCAAAATGCTTCCTCCTGTTCCGTCTTCTGCTGAGACGTAGTTGTTCAAAAGCAACAGCCTAGGGCAGAAACTTTATTTTTATTTTTATTTTATTTTATTTTTTTTAAGATGGAGTCTCATTCTGTTACCCAGGCTGGAGTGTAGTGATGAAATCTTGGTTCACTGAAATCTCTGTCTCCCGGGTTCCAGTGAGTCTCCTGCCTCAGCCTCCCGGGTAGCTGGGACTACAGGCATGCACCACCACGCCCAGCTAATTTTTCTAATTTTAGTGGAGATGGCGTTTCACCATGTTGGCCAGACTGGTCTCGAGCTCCTGATCTCAAGTGATCCACCAGTCTTGGCCTCCCAAAGTGCTGGGATTGAGCTACTGTGAGCTACTGAGCCCAGCCTCTTGCAGCAGTCTTGACTGATTTCCGTCTCTGTTTCCATCCTTCTTTCTCTATTCCAGTCTATTTCCCAAACTGCTTATAAAATTTATTTCCTAAAAGGCAGCCCCAACTGTGTGATTACCCTTCATAAGGTCCTTCCTGGCAGCCTGTTCTCCGCAGGATGTCTCCCCAGCCTAACACCGTGGGCCCTTTATCTCCTGGCCCTGCTCTGTTCAGCTCCATCTCGCCTTCCTCTAGTCCCCTCCCCAGGCACCACCACATCTAGTCTAACTTACCCAATTCTGTTCCTCAAAAAACTGTGAAATTCTTCGGTTTCTTTGAGTCCTTCCTGTACTTGAGCGGTCTCAAAGCTTAGAGCCTCTCGTATTTTTTAAGCTTTTCAGCCCAGAATCCTTTTTCACATAGTCCTTTGTCCAGACTGGGTCCCGAGACCCACTTTGGGAAGCTCGGAGTGCCAGAGCAGCCTGCTTGCCAGTCTCCAAGCCTCCACCTCCTCTTGCCTTGGACACCATGGGCCCTTTATCTCCTGGCCCTGCTCTGTTCGGCTCCATCTCGCCTTCCTCCAGTCCCCTCCCCAGCCACCACCACATCTAGTCTAACTTACCCAGTTCTGTTCCTCACCCTGTATCTGTGTGGTGGACTCCGTGTCCTTCTTGAGTTCAGCCTGTCCCCCCGGGATGCCTTCCCTGTCAGGCCTCTTCAGGCAGTCTGGGGCTTTGTCCTGCTCCCCGCTCCATGTTCTGATGTTTATCCCACAGTGAACAAATGGTTTGCTTATCCAGCTCCTTGGTCTGTTGGACTTCCCTGCCCTTAGCCCAGAATCCACAGCAGGGAGTGATTAGGGAACTCGAGGCTGGCCTAGTGAGGTCTGCCCACCTTTTCTGACTGCCCCTTCTGGATTTCCAGGTGAGGACGAGGAAAGCGATTCGTCCTCCAAATGTTCTGTGTATGCTGACTCAGATGGTGAAAATGACAGCACGTCGGACTCTGAGAGCAGCAGCTCTTCCAGCTCCTCCTCCTCCTCCTCATCGTCCTCGTCCTCCTCATCCTCTGAGTCCTCTGAGTCCTCCTCTGAAGATGAAGAGGAAGAAGAGCAGCCAGCAGCCCTTCCTTTAGCCTCCCCGCCCCCTAGGGAAGTCCCAGCACCCCCGCCAGCACCTGTGGAGGTGCCCGCGCCAGAGAGGGTTGCAGGCTCCCCAGTCACACCGCTGCCTGAACAGGAGGCATCTCCAGCAAGGCCGGCAGGTAGGTGCCATGAGGCCGTCGGTTGGATCTGTGTGTGTGTTTGTGTGTATGAGAGGGAGAGAACAGTGGCACCTGCATTTATTGTGCACAAGTGTGTGACTTTATTAGAAAAACATAAAATGCCACCATCTCCTGTCACTCTCTTCTGGAGACACTGATTGACACACTCAAACTGCACTTTCATGGTGGACTACTGAGCCCCAGGCTCAGGTGTTTGGCTACTAAAGTAAAATGAGTTGGTCTTCTCTTAAATAAATTAAGGATAAAGTACCCAATTGAATTAAGTTTTTCCTCCTAATTTTCCTTAAGTGTGTTCTTCAGTTGAGTGTTGTATAAGCGCAGGTGATTAAATGGGCAAATAGATAGAAGACAAGTATTAACATTAACACAGAACTTGGTTCTAGTTGCTTTCCTTTGTGGTTTTGTACATCTAGTTGTTGTACTGTAGCACATTTGCATAGCTGATCCTGCTGAGGGAACTGCTCTTTTAAGCAGTAGATAACTTACTGAGTGTTCATTGCAGCCACACAGTAGGTGCAGGGGATGGGATGCTGAGCCTCGCAAGCAGCGTTCTTGCTTTCATCATGCTTACAGTCTAGAGGGAGAGACAGCTTCACTGAGTAAGAAATACATAGGAGGCTGGGCACGATGGCTCATGCCTGTAATCCCAGCACTTTGGGAGGCTAAGGTGAGCAGATCACTTAAGCTCATGAGTTTTAAGACCAGTCTGGGCAACATGGTGAAACCCTGTCTTTACAAAAAATGCAAAAATTAGCAGGTGGTATGTGCTTATGATCCCAGCTGCTGGGGAGGGAGGCTGAGGTGGGAGGATCACTTGAGCCTGGAAGGCAAAGGCTTTAGTGAGCCAGTGAGCCAAGATCATGCCACTGCACTCCAGCCTGGGCAGCAGAGCAAAACCCGGTCTAAAAAATAAAAAACTAGGAAAACCGCCGGGCGCGGTGGCTCAAGCCTGTAATCCCAGCACTTTGGGAGGCCGAGGCGGGCGGATCATGAGGTCAAGAGATCGAGACCATCCTGGTCAACATGGTGAAACCCCGTCTCTACTAAAAATACAAAAAATTAGCTGGGCGTGGTGGCACGTGCCTGTAATCCCAGCTACTCAGGAGGCTGAGGCAGGAGAATTGCCTGAACTCAGGAGGCGGAGGTTGCGGTGAGCCGAGATCGCGCCCTTGTACTCCAGCCTGGGTAACAAGAGCGAAACTCCATCTCAAAAAAAAAAAAAAACTAGGAAAACCTGTGGTTATGAACCATGAGAAGCACCAGGAAGAAGTGCAGGGCAGCCAGCTGGAGCACACCTGCAGGGGGAGGAGGGTTTCCTGCTGAGGCACTGCTGAAGTCTGGGCAAAGCAGGCAGCATGGCTGGCTTAGCATGTGCCAAGGCCCTCTGTCGGGGGAAGCAGCAGGTTGGAAGACATGGAAGAAAGCTGACCCTCCGGAGGGCCCGGGGACGTTGGGGTGGCTGCAACGGGAGAGGTGAGTGAGGACTGGCTCTGCAGACAAATAGGCCAGCCATGTCAGGAATTTGGCCTTTATTTTGATAGTAGAAAGTCATCAGAGGGATGACAATGGTCAGATGTGTGTTTCAAAAAGATGTGGTGCAGAGAAAACTTGGAAAGGGGCCACAGCGGATGCAGGGCACCTCTTAAGTGGCTATTGCAGTATATGAGGCGAATTACGGTGGTAGCTTGGACTAGGTGTTGCGAGGAGGGATCAAATAAGTCAGTATTCAAGATGGTGCTGTGAACTTTAGGAGGCCAAGGCAGGCAGATCACTTGAGGTCAGGAGTTCGAGACCAGCCTGGTCAACATGGTAAAACCCCATCTCTACCAAAAAATACAAAAATTAGCCAGGTGTGGTGGTGTGCACCATAGTCCCAGCTACTCGGGAAGTAGTGGAGGCACAAGAATGGCTTGAACCCGGGAAGTGGAGATTGCACCACTGTACTCCACCCTAGGCGACAGTGAGACTCCATCTCAAAGACAAGATGTGCTATGAAGATGTAGGTGGCCTCCCAGGGGTCTCCCACTTGCACGTTTTTGAGAATCTGTGGTCTGAGATAGGCAGTACCCACAGGAAGACCTCCTCACACTGGCATACTCTGCTAAGCTCCAGGCCCCATGAGAGGAGAGTTGAGGCTCTCATTACACTTCAGATGACTCTCCAACCTTTCCTGGGCCCATCAGGTAACAGAAGGGCCTGTGGGGTCACTGGCAGGTCAGAAGGCATGGATCTTAGTCCTCTTCATTCTCAAAAGAGCAGGAAGGAGAGGAGCCTGACTATACCTGCATTTCAAAAGGCCCATTCTAGCAGGAGGAGAGATTTGGAAGAAGGGGAGAGGAAGCAGGGTGACATTGGGGGTTTGAGATTTAACAGCATGAAGCAAAGCCAGGGGGTTCTGGTGCAGCAGAGGAGTGGAGTGGCAGTGGAGTAAGGATTGGTGGGGGATTCAGGAGGCAGGATGACTTGGTTAAACTGCCCCAGGAAAGGAAACTCGGGAAGAAAACCAGGACAGGACAAGGAAGAAAACTGATGAGTGTAGTTGGGGTTGCATTTGAGATGCCCCTGGGGCCTCCCAGGAGAAACAGTGGCAGTTGGATCCATAGATCTGGGGTCTGGAAAGAACGGTAGGCTGGATGTGAGGTTGGTGCTTAGGTCTTGAAAGTGTAGGCTGGGCATGGTGGCTCACACCTGTAATCCCAGCACTTTGAGGGGCTGAGGTGGGCAGATCATAAGGTCAAGAGATTGAGACCATCCTGGCCAACATGGTGAAACTTCATCTCTACTAGAAATACAAAAATTAGCTGAGTGTGGTGGCACGTGCCTGTAGTCCCAGCTACTTGGGAGGCTGTTGCAGGAAAATCACTTGAACCCAGGAGGCGAAGGTTGCAGTGAGCCGAGATTGCGCCACTGCGCTCCAGCTTGGCGGCAGATTATCCATCTCAAAAAAAAAAAAAAAGTACAGCAGTGAATTCACTTGTAGACCCAAGAAGGTGAGTGGAGGGAGAGAACAGGCAGAGCCTTCGGGTTCTGTGAGAGAGGTGGGATAAGGGGGACCCGAGAAGGCTGAGAAGGGTGACCAGAGGTGGGAAGAGAAGCAGGGAGCAGAGAGTGTGAACACTAGAGGATGCTCAGGTTCTGAAAAGGAGGGAGTGGCCTTCTATCACCAGGCCACCAGCAAGGCTGAGATAGGAAGTATCTGTTGGATTTGACAGGAGGTCACTGGTAGTCTTATCAATTTCAGTTGAGGGGTTCAGACTAAGGTCAAGTTACAGGGTGCAAAGGAAGGAGGGGAGGGAAGTTTTCCAGAAGGGTGGGCCACTTTTGCTGAGATAGAAAGGAGAGTTGGGGCTGGGCACAGTGGCTCACACCTGTAATCCCAGCACTTTGGGAGACCGAAGTGACTGGATCACTTGAGGCCAGGAGTTGAGACCACTCTGGCCAACACAGTGAAACCTCGTCTCTACTAAAAATACAAAAATTAGCCGAGTGGTGGTGGGCGCCTGTAATCCCAGCCGTTTGGGAGGCTGAGGCAGGAGAATCCCCCGAACCTGGGAGGTGGAGGTTGCGGTGAGCCAAGATTGCACCACTGCACTTCAGCCTGGGAGACAGAGCCAGACTTCATCTCAAAAAAAAGGAAAAAAGAAAAGAGAGTTGGGGGCTCTAGGCATAGCATGTTCACAATTCATTTTCTCATTCAATCCCCACAAACTCCCTTTTTTTTTTTTGAGACACAGCGTTGCTGTATCACCCAGGGTGGAGTGCAGTGGTGCAATCTAGGCTTACTGCAACCTCCGCCTTCCAGGCTGAAGCGATTGTCCTGCCTCAGCCTCTGAAGCAGCTGGGACTATAAGGCACACACCACCACACCTAGGGCTAATATTTGTATTTTTTTTTTTTTTTTTTTGAGATGGAGTTTCGCTCTTGTTACCCAGGCTGGAGTGCAATGGCGCGATCTCGGCTCACCGCAACCTCCGCCTCCTGGGTTCAGGCAATTCTCCTGCCTCAGCCTCCTGAGTAGCTGGGATTATAGGCACGCACCACCATGCCCAGCTAATTTTTTGTATTTTTAGTAGAGACGGGGTTTCACCATGTTGACCAGGATGATCTCGATCTCTTGACCTCGTGATCCACCCGCCTCGGCCTCCCAAAGTGCTGGGATTACAGGCTTGAGCCACCGCGCCCGGCCATATTTGTATTTTTTAATAGAGACAGGGTTTCACCATATTGGTCAGGCTGGTCTTGAACTCCTGACCTTGTGATCTGCCCACCTTGGCTTCCCAAAGTGCTGCGTGAGCCACTGCGCCTGGCCTTTTTTTTTTTTTTTTTTTTTTTTTATTGGAGACATTGTTTCACTCTTGTTGCCCAGGCTGGAGTACAGTGGCACAATGGCTTACTGCAACCTCCACTTCCCGGATTCAAGCGATTCTTTTGCCTCAACTTCCTAAGTAGCTGGGAATACAGGTGCATGCTACCATGCCTGGCTAATTTTTGTGTTTTTAGTAGAGACAAGGTCTCACCGTGTTGCCCAGGCTGGTCTCAAACTGCTGATCTCAAGTGATCCGCCCCACTTGGCCTCCCAAAGAACTGGGATTACAGGCATGAGCCACCACGCCTGGGCCACAACCTCTTGTGATTCCTATTTTACAGATAAGGGCTTCAAGGCTTAGTGAGATGCAGAAACAAGCTCAAGGTTACCCAGCTGGAGTCGGAGAGACAGCAAGAAGAGAGGGCAGGGTTGAGGGAGGGGTTAGTGTTTCCAAGTAGGTGAGGCTTGGGCGTGTTCCAGCACTGAAGGGAAGAGGGGCCAGGTAGATGTGCCTGGAGAGAGGACCACTCACGGGCATGGCCTTTCTAGGGAGGTGGAGGAGTAGCTTCCAGATCTGATGCAGGTATGTCCTTCAGTGGGGTGGCATGGAGACTGGGGTGTTGTGCCTGAGGCCTCTTTTTGCCCTGAGTCTTATGAGTGTGAGGGGAAGGGTGGAGTAAGAACCTTGGAAAGTGGGGAAGTGAGATGAAAGTTGCTCAAGTCTGGGTGAGGTGGTTCACACATATAATCCCAGTACTTTGGGAGGCCGAGGCAGCAGGATCTCTTGAGCCCAGAAGTTGGAAACCAGCCTGGCTAACAACAGCAACAAAAAAACCGTGCGATGTGATCCCAGCTCCTGGGGAGGCTGAGGTGGGAGGATTGCTTGAGCCTAGGATGTTGAGGAGGCTGCAATAAACAGTGACCGTACCATTGCACTGTAGCCTGGAGACAGAGTGAGCCCCTTGCCTGGGCCTTCCCATGCTGGAAGGCCCTGCCAGAGCTGGGACCAGGGGGTGAGGGTAGAGGAGGCTGCTGGCTGGGTCCACAGGGTGGAGGTGGTGGAAGGATGAGGACGTGGGGCTGTGGAAGGTGCCGGGACAGCAGAGGGCAAAGTTCGGGCACTGGGGTCTGGGCAGGGTGGAGGAGGAAGTTAGGAAGAGGGTGATGTGCTGGAGGGAAACTGGGGTGGGAAGTTGAAGGTGCAGTGAGGCAGACTGAACAGTGAGGAATGGTTGAGAGGATGGGGTATCGCCAAGGCGGAGCCATTCTGCAGGTTGACAAGGCCAGGTGTGTGGCTGCTTGAGGGGAGCTGAGAGTGATTGAAGGGAATCACTGGATATGCGAGAATCCAGGTAAACAGGTGTGATCTCGAAGTCCCCTGGGGAGGTGGCAGAGGTGGAAGAGGAGAGGAAGATGTAGGTGGCCCCTTGGTGTCTGGATAGTGAGAGGGCACGACAAGGGAGTCTGAGTTACCAAGGACAAAGGAGCTGTGGCTCTGGGCAAGGGGGACCTAATGAAGGCTCACTGAGTTTCTATCTCCTCCCTTCCTCCCTCCCTCCCTCTCTTCCCTCTGTCCCCTTCCTTTTCCTTCTTTTTCTTTTTCTTCCCTTTCTTTCTTCAGAATCTAGCTCTGTCACCCAGGCTGGAGTGCAGTGGCTCAATCTCAGCTCACTGCAACCTCCGCCTCCTGGGTTCAAGCCATTCTCCCGCCTCAGCCGACTGAGGACTACAGGCATGCACCACCATGCCCAGCTAAGTTTTGTGTTTTTAGTAGAGATAGCGTTTTACCATGTTGGCCAGGATGGATCACTTGACCTTGTGATCCACCCACCTCGGACTCCCAAAGTGCTGGGATTACAGGCATGAACCACCGTGCCCGGCCAGTTCACTGAGTTTCTGGTAACTGGAACCAGTTTCAGTCACAACCATCTTAGTGATGCCACCTGGGGATGTTAGTGATGGCCCTGGGGATGGGTAGGTTATACGGTAGGAACTGGCTTCTGGGGCCTTGCCCCATAGACCTGAGCATGGCAAGAGAACAGTTCTCAGAGAAAGACAGTGGAAGTCGTATTGAGTGGGCAGATGTCCCCAAGAGTTGTCTCCTAAATGAAAGGGGTGGGCAGGTTTCCTTCGGGACAGTTGCAGAGGGAAGTGTGTATGCAACAGCTGCACTGGGAGAGGAGTATGTTCTCCTTTAGGGCAGGCTTCCCAAGGACATTTGGGCTGGATTGCAAAGTGATATGTGGGGGGCGCTGCCCCAGCATGGTGGGGAGGAAGGTGAGAGGAGGCCCGGGTGCATCTGGGTCCTTGCTAGCTTCCTGGAGTGGGTTACTGCCGCAGACTGAAACCCCAGCGGGTGTCCAGAGCCTAAGGAGCAGCTGAGGGCCTGGCTCAGGTCGCCAGGGTGTGGAGTGCGGTGGACTCGGGCGGATTGCTGCCCCTAGGGCCAGACCTGGTGCCAGCGGCCCTGTTGGCACTGAGTGGGGGAGCCAGCTGTGAAGCCACTGAGTCTGTGGGCTGCAGTTCACAGCCCAAGCTCAACCCACATGGCCTGGGGGCAGAGCTCGTTCTGTCATCTGGTAACTGTAACCTCATCTTAGTGCCTCAGTTTCCCTGTCTGTAAGATAGGAACCTTTGCCAGGCACAGTGGCTCACACCTGTAATCCCAACACTTTGGGAGGCAGAGGTGGGTGGATCACGAGGTCAAGAGATGGAGACCATCCTAGCCAACATGGTGAAACCCTGTCTCTACTAAAAATGCAAAAATTAGCCGGGTATAGAGGATTGCTTGAACCTGGGAGGCAGAGATTGCAATGAGCCAAGATTACACCACTGCACTCCAGCCTGGGCCACAGAGCAAGACTCCATCTTAAAAAAAAAAAAAAAAAAAAAAAAAGATAGGAACCTCTGGGCTCTTGTGAGGATTACATGAGTTACTCTATGTAAGAGGTGTGATTGCTGTTAGGCACAAAATCCATCGGGCTGACTCTGAAAGGCTCATTCGGGCTTTCCCAGGGATGGGGGTCAGGGAGGATGGACTCCCTGTCCTGGGGGTGGCTGGGGAGGCAGTACCCCCAGCTCGGAGCCAGTGTGTCCCCTCCTCAGCCACCCACATCCTGTGATCTCTACTGCAGCCTCGATTCTCTAGCTGGACTGTCTCCTGCCCCTCCCACAGGGCAGTTCTGTAGGGGAGGGGGAGGAAGGCAAGTTACATAAAATATTTTATTTTTTATTTTGATTGATTGATTTATTTTTTCAAGACGGGGTTTCACCATGTTGGTCAGGATGGTCTTAAAACTCCCGACCTCAGGTGATCGCCCACCTTGGCCTCCAAAGTGCTTGGATTACAGGCATGAGCCACCACGCCCGGCCACATAAAATATTTTAATACAAAGATGCCGCTTTTTAGGTTGTGTTGTGTTCCCTTCGCTAAACAGAATATTGTTTATGGTGGAGATAATGGATATTTTAGCTGAAATGTGGCTGACTGGATCCTTGGCATGGGACATGGCTCGGGACTGGGCACAGGGCTCTCCCGCCAGTCTGGGTAGGAAAGCGGAGTCCATGGTTTGTGTTGTGTTGGCGTCCCCCATTGGGCTGTGGCTCCAGAAGACATGGAAGGTGTCTCTCTGCTCCGAGCATCCCCTACACGTGTCGTGGTGGGAATGAGTGGGTAGGAAACCCCCTCCCTTCAAGGGAGTCCATCTGGCCGGGACATCCATTGGGATGAGGCCGGGGTGTCTGTGTCCCCCTCGGAGTTCCTGGGCGGAAGCCAGGGAGAACGCACAGCCTGTGGTCATGGGTGGCCAGGGCAGCTGAGCCTGTATCTCCCTGACCTCCTCCCTTTCCTGTGTGCTTCCTTCCCAGGCCCTGCGGAGGAGCAGCCCCCCAGTGTGCCCCTGCCTCCCCCAGAGCCACCTGCTGGGCCCCTGGCCCCTGCCCCACGCACCGAGGAGCGCCCCTCTTCTCCCATTCCCCTTCTGCCCCCACCTAAGAAACGCCGGAAAACTGTCTCCTTCTCTGCCACTGAGGTGGTGCCAGCCCCAGAGCCCCCTCCAGCCTCGCTGCCGCAGGCCAAGTCTCCCGGCCCAGTCTCTCGCAAGGCCCCCCGGGGCATGGAGCGGACCATCCGCAACCTGCCTCTGGACCACGCGTCTCTGGTCAAGAGTTGGCCTGAGGAGGTGTCTCGAGGAGGCCGGAGCCGGGCTGGAGGCCGAGGCCGCACCACCGAGGAAGAAGAGGCTGAGCCAGGGACAGAGGTGGACCTGGCAGTACTGGCTGACCTGGCCCTGACTCCCTCCCGGCGTGGGCTGCCTGCCCTGCCTGCCATTGACGACTCGGAGGCCACAGAGACGTCGGACGAGGCTGAGCGCCCCGGGCCCCTGCTCAGCCACATCCTCCTAGAGCACAACTATGCCCTGGCTGTCAAACCCACGCCCCCAGCACCAGCCCCACGGCCCCCGGAGCCAGTGCCCGCACCCGCCGCCCTCTTCAGTTCCCCAGCCGATGAGGTCCTGGAGGCCCCCGAGGTGGTGGTGGCTGAGGCGGAGGAGCCCAAGCCTCAGCAACTGCAGCAGCAGCGGGAGGAGGGCGAGGAGGAGGAGGAAGAGGAGGAGGAGGGAGAGGATGAGGAGGAGTCCTCCGAGAGCAGCAGCAGCAGCGACGGGGAGGGCGCCCTCCGGAGGCGCAGCCTCCGCTCCCACACCCGGCGCCACCGCCCTACACCCCTGCCCCCACCACCACCACCCCGCGCCTACGAGCCTCGCAGCGAGTTTGAACAGATGACCATCCTGTATGACATTTGGAACTCGGGCCTGGACTCAGAGGACATGAGCTACCTGCGGCTCACATACGAGCGGCTGCTGCAGCAGACAAGCGGGGCTGACTGGCTCAACGACACCCACTGGGTCCATCACACGAATATCCTGAGCATGGGCGCCGGGGCGGGCGGCCTTCCTTGTGCCATGTGGGCAGGGGTCCTTCTCCAACCCCTCCTGGCGCCTGCATCTGTTCCCCCCCTCTATCCGCCTTTCCTCTGGCTCCGAGTCTTTTCTCGCCACCGGGTGCCTCTTTTCTGCCTCCCAAAGCATTTCTGGCAGGAACCATGGGGCTGGGGCTTCCTCCCCCTTCCTCATCTGGGTGTGCTCAGTGGTGTGGGCCCCACCCTCTCCTCGGGCTGGGACGCTGGTGGCCAGAGAGGAGACATTCTCTTCCTTAACACCTCGCACTCACCAACCTAACCACCCCAAAACGCAAGCGGCGGCCCCAGGACGGGCCCCGGGAGCACCAGACAGGCTCAGCCCGCAGCGAAGGCTACTACCCCATCAGCAAGAAAGAGAAGGACAAGTACCTGGACGTGTGCCCAGTTTCAGCCCGGCAGCTGGAGGGCGTGGACACTCAGGTGGGCCAAGCCTTGCCCCAACCCCACCACCCTGTGCTGCATCCTCCTCCAGCACTTCTCCCGCCACTCAGCCTCCTTGCCCTGCTCACCTCCCTGGCTGTTCTCACAGGGGACGAACCGCGTGCTATCCGAGCGCCGGTCTGAGCAACGGAGGCTGCTGAGTGCCATCGGTACCTCTGCCATCATGGACAGTGACCTGCTAAAGCTCAACCAGCTCAAGGTGAGGCCCAGTGGTGGGAGGGGGGCAGGTTGCAGTAGGACGGGAAGGTGCAGATGCCAGGGGACCGCCCAGCAGGCTTGTGTGGTCCCTGTGGGTGGTGAGGGGGTGGTGAGTGGCCAGAACACTCTCTGCCTGGGAGTTCTGTGGGAAGAGAAAGGGGCTGAGGCGTGGGAGGTGTCCGGCAGTTGAGACTCCTTGCTGTCCCCTAGTTCCGGAAAAAGAAGCTCCGATTTGGCCGGAGCCGCATCCACGAGTGGGGTCTGTTTGCCATGGAACCCATTGCTGCTGACGAGATGGTCATCGAATACGTGGGTCAGAACATCCGTCAGGTGAGGCTGAACTCCCAGCCCCGCCCCGGCTCCTGATGCAGCAAGACAGCACCAGACCGCATACACATGCCATTTGTCCTGGCTAAAACCTCGCACACCCCCAGCCCCAAGACCTAACCAGTGAGACCAGCCTCCCTCTGGTGCGGTCAGGGGGTGCCAGTGGTTCAGCAGGAGGCACAGCTGATGGCATTGCTCCCTTTCAAGGGCCTGGGAAGGGGGAGGACAGGCATTGAACAAATATCTACACAAAACGGCAGAGTTCCAGCCTGGGCAACATGGCCAGACCCCATGTCTGCAAAAAATACAAAAGGTAGCTGGGCATGATGGTGCATCCCTGTGGTCCCAGCTACCTGGGAGGCTGAGGTGAGAGGATTGCTTGAGCCCAGGAGGTGGAGGCTGCAGTGAGCCAAGATTGCACTACTGCACTCCAGCCTGGGCCACAGGGCGAGACTGTCTCTAGAAAAAACAAACACCTAAGGGATGGTGTTTGGTATTAACGAGATCTGGGGAAGTGGGGCTATGGGAGCGCACACCTGAAGGCCTAAGACCTCCCCGAGACCATGGTGCTTGAGCAAAGCTGAAAGGAGCTCACTGGCCCAGGTAAGGGGCGTTGTGCGTGCCTGGGTGCAGGATACCATGTGCACAGGCCTGGAGGCAGGGTTGTTTTGCGAAGGCATGGAGGTCAGCTGGGCTCGTTAGAAACCAGGGCCAGTGGCAGTGACGTGCGCCTGGAGGGGAGAGGGAGCCCAGACTGTGTGGGCTTGGGAGTCTTCCGCAGGAGAGGGTCTTTCTGCAGAAGAGGGGCCTGCAGTAAATGAGCTCCCTGTCTAGGCTGACACCAGTATCCAAGCCAAGGTGGCCTGACCCAGGCAGTGGCAGCAGAGGTGGTTTTGGGTGCAAGGTGGTTGGCAGGGCTCAGCAGTGAGGGTGAGGGGGATCAGAGGCCCTTTCTTGGTTCTGCTCTTAGCTGCAGGGAGTATGGCGGGGTGGCCAGTGAGATGGCAGCTAGGAAGAAGAACAGATGTGAGGTCAAGATAAGCTGCAGTCTGGACACGTGGGGTTGCAGTGCCCCAGGGACATCTAGGGGATGACGCCCAGCCTCCACTGAGGTGGCTTTTGGCTGGAAATGGAAGTTTGGGAGGAGTCCCCTCCACTTAGCTGGCAGCTGAGGCTTTGGAAGGGAGTGAGGTCACCGAGGAGGGCGTGCAGAGGCTCCTCACCATCTTCTGGGAAGTAAAGAGTCGCTGCTCACCGAGCTGCGGGCCTGACGTGGGCAGCCTGCCGTTTGCATTGGCCGGTAGCAGCCAACAGGTGCCTGTTTTAGAGAGAGGTCCAGGGATGAGAGATGAGCAGGGTGCTGCCTTCAGTGACATGGCCACTGTCATTTCAGGAGCTGCCCTGGCAGTCCAGGGGCCGCACCGTGACCAGGCAGATGCTCAGAGGAGCCAGAGGCTCTCCTGCCTGGTGCAAATTTTCCTGGAGTTCTCTGTGGGTGACTTAGATCGGCCACCAGAGGCCTAGGATGCTGCCCCAAAGAGGGAGGGCTCCTGGAAGCAGAGTCCACAGAGTCAGTGCCTGGTTAGTGGGAGCTGGAGGCAGAGCTGCATCTCTAGGCCTGGTGGGTGTGGATTTGGGGTGCTGGCCGGCAGGCGTACAAAGGAGCAGGAAGTGGGTGCTCTTCCCTGACCATCGAGTCTCACCCCGGCAGATGGTGGCCGACATGCGGGAGAAGCGCTACGTGCAGGAGGGCATTGGCAGCAGCTACTTGTTCCGGGTGGACCATGACACCATCATTGATGCCACCAAATGCGGCAACCTGGCCAGGTTCATCAACCACTGCTGCACGGTGCGCCGGGGGGCCGGCCGGGGTGGGGATGGAGGAGTCTGGGCAGGGGGGGCGGCCACAGCTCACATGCCCTTCCCTTCGCAGCCCAACTGCTACGCCAAGGTCATCACCATCGAGTCCCAGAAGAAGATCGTGATCTACTCCAAGCAGCCCATCGGCGTGGACGAGGAGATCACCTATGACTACAAGTTCCCGCTGGAGGACAACAAGATCCCGTGTCTGTGTGGCACGGAGAGCTGCCGGGGCTCCCTAAACTGAGGTGGGGCAGGACGGGTGCCCACACCCCTATTTATTCCCCCTGGTGCCCTGAGCTCCCAGCAGCCCCTAGCCTTAGTGGGCTCAGTAAGGCCCACACGCCCCCATCTCCAAGCATGGGGTTGGGGGATCCCGAGCCCAGCGAGGGAGCCTCAGTCCCTGGAGGCAGTTTCTGCCTCTCCTGTCGCCCCTGCCCACCACCCCGATTGTTTTTCTTTGCGGAGAAGAAGCTGTAAATGTTTTGTAGCAGCCAGCAGCTGTTTCCTGTGGAAACCTGGGGTGCCGGCCTGTACAGATTCTGTCCTGGGGGGCTGCACAGCCCTCTTGCTTTGTGTTAATTGGGACTTCCTCTTGTGCCCTGCGTGTACCCCTCCCCAGTTTAGGGGTCTCTGGGGCAGTGGCCATGTTCTCCCCCTGGGGGGGCTCTGCACCCCCAGTCTTGGGGACTCCGTGCCTGGAACCCTGCCTCATCTGTTCCTGCCAGACCCTGAGGGTCACCCTCCCACCCTGGTGTCACGCCCCGGCTCAGCCAGGCCAGGATGGTGGGGTGGGCCCCTCCTGCTGGGCTGGACTGTACATATGTTAATAGTGCAAACCCGACGCCACATTTTTATAATTGTGATTAAACTTTATTGTACAAAAGTGTTTGTTTGGTGTCTTTGGGGAGGAGCAAGGGGGGTGGAGGTGGAGGGCATGAAGGGTTGGGCAAGACGATGAGAGGGAAAAGTGGGCGCCTGAAGTGTGGGGTGGGCAGAGGGGCCTTCAGGCAAGAGCCCAGACCTGCAGAGGCCCCAGGACTGTAGTTGGACCTGACAGGAATCCCTTACCAGTGCCTGCAGGCAGTGCCAAGGTCAGGCCTCCCCTTCCCAGAACCACAGCTGCAGCTGGGCCTCTGGCCTCCTGGGAAGCCCAGCAGGAGGGAAGGCCTGAGGTCACACTGTGGGATGAGGTCACCTGCCGGCTCCACCCATAGCCTTGGACCCCCGCAGCCCACTCTGCAAGTTTCAGCTTCATCCCCCCAAGTTCTCTGCTGGACCCGGATGCCAGTGGAGCACAGAGTAGCCGCCAGGGGGCGCCTTGGGGCAAGAGTGGCGGGGGGTGGGTGGTTGGGCGGGTCTCCGTTCCTGGAATAGCCAGGAGGGAGAAGGAGGAGCCAGCGGAAGGGGACGGTGTGTGGGCTGGCTAGCTCTGGACAAAAGAAGAGGGCCACCCTGGGACAGCAGCTGCAGGTAGGTAGAGGCGCTACCAGTGCCCAGGTGGCCCTTACCTCCATCTGACCCTTCCCACTTTCCTATACCATTCCCTCCACCTCCCTCAAGTGCCGGCCTCCCCACCCCTTTTCTGCCCTCATCTCTCTCCCGAAACCCTGACCCCTTCCTGCACCCTAAGTCCGTCTCTCTCTCTGTAACTCAGCCGTCGGCGGGGCAGAGTGCAGGTGGCCTGGCTGCTGTAGCTCCCAGGAGCTGCCCTGCCCTCCCCCAAACCTCCAGCCTCGTTCCTGCTCCAGGGCACCTCCAGTAGTTAACAGGTGGCTGTAGCAGACGGAAGTCGGACCCTGGGTGAGCCAAGGTCTCTTTCCGAGCTGGGCATGGCCGACTCTGCACAGGCCCAGAAGCTGGTGTACCTGGTCACCGGGGGCTGCGGCTTCCTGGGGGAGCACGTGGTGCGAATGTTGCTGCAGCGGGAGCCCCGTCTCGGGGAGCTGCGCGTCTTTGACCTACACCTGGGTCCCTGGCTGGAGGAGCTGAAGACAGGTTCTCATTGGGAGAGCTTGTGGCGGGGCGGGTGTGGACGCTTCCCCATCCCTTCCCAAGCTGGGATCCCCACCCCTGCAGTGGAACAGATGATGCTCGTTTCTGCCCACATGGATGGGATGAGTGAATCACACTTGGGAACATGACTCCAGGGTAGAAGCTGAACCCAGACTGTGGCCCCCACTCTGACATGGCCTGTGTTCTCTATCCTTGGCCAGGGCCTGTGAGGGTGACTGCCATCCAGGGGGACGTGACCCAGGCCCACGAGGTGGCAGCAGCTGTGGCCGGAGCCCACGTGGTCATCCACACAGCTGGGCTGGTGGATGTGTTTGGCAGGGCCAGTCCAAAGACCATCCATGAGGTCAACGTGCAGGGTGAGGAGCCCTAGATGCTCCTGGCCATCTTGTCTGTTTGTTCCCCACCCCATCTTTGCCCTTGACCTCCTGTGACTACCCTGGGACAAGTGTCCTATTGACAGCCCTGCCCCTCCCCGCATCGCTGACCTGTTGTGGTTTCCCTGGACCTGGGGTGGGGAGGAGGAAGATGCAGAGAGGGAGGAAGCTGCAGTCTGGATATGCCCCTCCTCTACCAGGCACCCGGAACGTGATTGAGGCTTGTGTGCAGAATGGAACACGGTTCCTGGTCTACACCAGCAGCATGGAAGTTGTGGGGCCTAACACCAAAGGCCACCCCTTCTACAGGTGAGTGGCAGGCCCTCCTGTCCTCTTAAGGGCCCATTTCCCTCAGCATTGAGTCTTCCCTCTCCTCCCACCAGGGGCAACGAGGACACCCCATACGAAGCAGTGCACAGGCACCCCTATCCTTGCAGCAAGGCCCTGGCCGAGTGGCTGGTCCTGGAGGCCAATGGGAGGAAGGTGAGCCCAGAAAATGGAGGTGCAGAGATGGGGTTCCTGGCCTGTGCACCCCCTTACCCCGACACCGCTAGGAGGCTAGAGCCGAGAGCCAACTGTTGGGTCCCGGATCTCAGCAGTGCCTGCTTTTGCCACCAGGTCTGTGGGGGGCTGCCCCTGGTGACGTGTGCCCTTCGTCCCACGGGCATCTACGGTGAAGGCCATCAGATAATGAGGGACTTCTACCGCCAGGGCCTGCGCCTGGGGGGTCGGCTTTTCCGGGCCATCCCGGCCTCTGTGGAGCATGGCCGGGTCTATGTAGGTGAGGACTGGGCTAGGCAGGGGGAGGCTGAGAATATGGCAGGAGGACCTGCTCTGGATGGGGGCGGGACCCACATGGCCCTGAGAGAGAAATGTGGACTCTGGTTAGAAAAATATGGTCTATGAATGGGCCACGGTAGACTGGGATTATGTGGGCACAGCCTGCAGAGAACACAGGATCTGGGCAAGTTGGGACATCAAAAAGTGTCAAAGTCTACAGAGAAGATTGCAGCTATGGGAGCAGCCACGCCCCAGGAGAGGAGAGAGAGGGACAGTGTCTACATAGCACTAAAAGGGCTGGGTTCAGTGGCTTACACCTATAATCCCAGCACTTTGGGAGGCTGAGGCGGGAGGACGGCCTGAGCCCAGGAATTGGAGGCTGCAGTGAGCTATGACTGCACCACTGCACTCCAGCCTGGGCGACAGAGAGAGACCCTGTCTCTAAAACTATTTATTGAAAGGGAATAGCTTCTTCCCAGGTAATGAGGTCACCTCCCACTCCGTCCTGCAGCCCCCAAGCCCCTCAGGGCCCACCCTGCAGTCCTGGCTTCCCCATCCTCTCCCCAGGTTCTTTGCAGATGCAGGCTGGCCCAGGAGAGCAAGTGGCTACCAGGGCAGAGGAGAAGGCAGCCTTTCCCAGGCTGCTGTGAGAATGTGGGAGGCAACTGGGCCCAAAGCGGGGGTGGCCCAGGAGAGCAGCCTCGACACGGTGTGGCATTGGCGCGTGTCCATGTCTCTTCCTCCACCGGCAGGAAATGTGGCCTGGATGCACGTGCTGGCGGCCCGGGAACTGGAGCAGCGGGCGGCACTGATGGGCGGCCAAGTGTACTTCTGCTATGACGGATCGCCCTACAAGAGCTATGAGGACTTCAACATGGAGTTCCTGGGCCCCTGCGGACTGCGGCTGGTGGGCGCCCGCCCGCTGGTGCCCTACTGGCTGCTGGTGTTCCTGGCCGCTCTCAATGTCCTGCTGCAGTGGCTGCTGCGGCCGCTGCTGCTCTATGCACCCCTGCTGAACCCCTACACGCTGGCTGTGGCCAATACCACCTTCACTGTCAGCACTGACAAGGCTCAGCGCCATTTCGGCTATGAGCCCCTGTTCTCATGGGAGGACAGCCGGACCCGCACCATTCTCTGGGTACAGGCCACGGGGGGTTCAGCCCAGTGACGCAGGGCTGTGGCCTGGAGGCCCATTGCAGCACATCCACCCAGGTCCTGAGCCCTCACACAAGGCTGAATTTCAGAGTGGAGGGAGGGCTCTAGGACTCAGAGCCCTTCACATTTTTTTCTTTTTTTTTCAGACCAGGTCTGCCTCAGCCTCCTGAACAGCTGGGACACAGATGCACACTACCACACCTGGCTTTTTTTTTTTTTTTTTTTTTTTGAGACAGGGTCTCACTGTATTGCCCAGGCTAGTCTTGAACTCTTGGGCTCAAGTGATCCTTTCATCTGGGCCTCCCAAAGTGCTGGAACTACAGGTGTGAACCCCTGCGCCTGGCCCAAGCCCTCATTTTCAATCCCGGAGCCATGAGTCTGTGTTGCGTCCTGACGCCTTTAAGTTCTAGGGCCGTCAGGACACAAGGGCAGGGTTTGGGGACAGGAGTGTCCATCCTCCATCCTCTCCAGGGCCAATGGCTGCTTGGCCAGGGTCTGGTGCCCTGGCGACCTGCCCTGGCTCACTTCTGGCTTTGTGAGCAGGAAGAGAGCAGAGGCTCCCCTCCTGACATCCACGGGCGACCTTCAGGCCTAGGTGCAGAGTGCAGAGGCGGCTCTGGTTCCTCCGGGCACCTAACCTCCCTCTTTGGGAGGTGATGTTTCCATTGCTTTTCCAAGGCCTCACCTTCGCCGTCTGTCTGAATTCCCCTTTGGAGTGCTGCGGCCTCCCTCCGCTTTCACTTCCCACCTCTCTACCCAAGTTCCTTCCCGGCAGGTCGCCAGCCCTGTGGCTGGGGATGCCCCCGAGCATCTACAGTGAAGGCCATGGATGTTATACCTGGCTGAGCCCGGATTAAAAGCCTCGTCCATGCCCATGTCCATCTGTCTGTCCAGCTGTCCTTCCCGCCCCCACCCCGTGTCCGCCTCCCCACGGCGCCCATCCCGCATGGGGACAGAAGGAAGTAAGCACACAGCACGCCCGCTGTTGGATTGGTTGCTATTTCTCCCGTCCCACAGGGCCCTGCCTGGCCCGGGGTGGGGTGGGGGGCTCTGGGGACAGGACATGCAGGGCCGAAAGGGGGGCAGGATTTTCCTGTGTTTTATCCATTTGCAACTTGGTCACCAATAGAGAGAAATGGGACTCTGAGGGCTAACAGGAGAGGGCAGCCTGGCTCTGGGCCCCCAGCCAGGCCCCAGGAGTCCTGTCCCCTCTGGGGAGGGGAGGGAGAGAGCTCTAGAAACCAACGGAGAAACAGAGAAGGGGGCAAGGGCTCATGTCAGCAAACACGGCTACATCACGTGACACGCCAGCGACACAGAAACACACGCCAACGCACACGGCTGCACAGCGGGCAGGGGCGGGTGGGGGAAGGGAGCTGGGGGCCACCCATCTTGTCCTCTGCGGGGCGGGCTGGGGGGGGCAGGGTGAATGCATAGAACACATCATGTGTACACGCTCAGGGCGTGGCAAGAGCGTGCATCGACCCACGGGCACATGGGATGGACACGCAGTGTGCTTTGTGAGGGGCAGGAACAGGGAGGAGGGGGAGGAGGAGCATTGAGCCCTGGCCAGGCCCGGGACCACCCGCAGGGCAGACGTGGGGCACACGTGGGGCACACGTGGGCTTGATGGTTGTAGGCGCCTGGGCAGGCAGCACACATTTGTCCGAGAACATGCAAAAGACACCATCCCTAGATAACACGCCAGGACGCACACAGACGGCAGCTGACAAGCAGACACATCATAGGATGTGGGGGACACGTAGAAAAGTTGGGGCACAGCAGACCCTCGGGGATCCCCTGGTCCACCTGAGGCCCAGAGATAGGCAGCCATGGGCCCAATGCCACTCCAGGAAGTGCGAGCGGCGCCCCAGCCATACCACACCCTTTTCCCGTGGCTCCAAGGCTGTGGGACTTCCGGAAACACCTGGGCTGAACAGGGGTCCCGTCGGGACGGCCAGAAGAGGGAACTGGGGGCTGGGGCCTGCTCTGATGTCTCCCAAGCAGCCCGAGATGGGATCAGGAGGGCCGCAGCCAGACATGGGGCAGACTTTCTGTCCTGCAGAGGGGCATTCTGGGAAGGGACAGGCAGGCCCCCAACTCAGGACAGCCCACCTGGGGTTCCACATGTGGCCACACTGGCACACACACAGGACAGGATAGAGCTCAGCTGTCTGAGCAGGGGTAGAGGCGGAGGGGTACTATGTTCTGGGAGGTCACATCTGTATGGCCACACGCGCACACAATGCACACACAAAATGCACACACGCACACACGCACATGTCACATGGCCTGGGACCATGGGGTCTGCACAAACACACTGAGTCCCTCACCTGTGCACACGTAAGCCCCTTGCCAGGGCAGGGCACATCTGTGTCCTTGTGCGTTCACTCTCCATGCTCCTGGGCCATGGACCACAAGCCTCTAACCTTGTCCTTTTTCCTGAGCTCCACCTACCTGCCACGAACCCACAAACTGCACCTGTGCTGGCTACACAGCAGGGGAAGCGCTGGCCCCTTCCTCACACGGAAACCGGGCCTGTGTACCCCTCAGTTGCACCCTGGTGTGGGGAGCAGCCCGAAGGTTCAGCAGGAGAAGCATTGGGGATGGGTCTCGGGACCCAGCCCACCCTGAGTGGCCACTGCCACACTGGCCACTCCAGTACATCTGAAATAAACAGTTCCCCAAACCTGAGTTCCCTGAGGCAGAGCCCAGAGCATCCGATGGGGCAGTGGGAACACACAGTCCTCTCCAAGGTCTGAGGCGGGTGTGTGAGGCAGGGGCCATGCCCTGATCTTTGATTTGTGCAGGGAAGTCCTTGGCATCTTGCCCTGTCAGTAACAGTCCTACAAGCAGCCCTTCCCTATCAGGAGGCATTCATGTGGTCCCCATGCTGATGCCAGCATGCATGGTGTGTGCCTGGTGCGGCCCCTGCCTGGGCCACCTCAGCCTTGCCATGTGTGAGCACACCGAGGGGTACCAGCTTCCAGGGGCTTGGGGCTATGCTGGGCAGAGGCAGAGAGAAAAATGAGGATCTGGGCGAGAGCACACAGGGCCCTGGGGCTGGGCAGGCAGGAAGCTCTGGCTGCACAACGATGTGGCCATGCGTGGTCACATGGGTACTGGGCAGTGCCTCTGGGGAGAGGGGCGGGGCAAGGACAACTGGAGAGACAAACCCGCATGGGGCCACATCCTTAGAAACGCCTGCGCACACACGTGTGTATGTATGTCTTAATACACAGGGCAGAAACACACCATGTAGGCTGGGTGTGGGGGCTCACACCTGTAATCCCAGCACTTTGGGAGGCCAAGGTGGGCAGATCACCTGAGGTCAGGAGTTCGAGCCCAGCCTGGCCAACATGTCAAAACCCCATCTCTACTAAATATACAAAAATTAGCCAGGCATGGTGGTGGGCACCTGTAATCCCAGCTACTTGGGAGGCTGAGGCAGGAGAATCGCTTAAACCCAGGAGGCACAGGTTACAGTGAGCTGAGATCGTGCCACTGCACTCCAGCCTGGGTGACAGAGCCAGACTCCATCTCAAAACAAAAACAAAAACGAAAAACACACCATGTAGACAGCCCCTAACACACACACACACACACACACACACACACACACACACATGCGCCACACACACAGAGCCGCATTCTAGGTAGTAAGAAATACACATTTCTATGCCCACCCAAAACAGGTGTCCAATCCACAGCGTGGAGGGCTCAGTCTGAGAAGACCTACCAACACTTCAGGCACATCCTTCTCTCTCTCTCTCTCTCTCTCTCTCTCTCTCACACACACACACACACACACACACATACACACACACACCCTCCCAGGACACGCAGCAGCCCCTGGGGTAATGAAGATGTGGGGTGTCTGCCATGGCCTGCGTGTACCTGGGCCTCCCTGGATCCTCTGAGAATGTGAGCGTGAGTACACACGCACCACCTGCTTGGTGTGTAGCAGACACGAAGGGCTCGGGTATCAGTGGCTTTGTTGCTGTTGCATTAGGTTCAAATACTCAAACAAAATTCCACACACACAAATGGTGTGTCCACAGATCTGTGGTCTCATGCGCGCGCACACACCGTTCATGGAGGACAGAGGGGACGTGGTGGGCTGCTGTGTTACACCTGGCTGCAGTCTACACAACAGCCCCGGTGAAGGGGGAAGCTCAGACCACACACATACCCAAGGTGGGGGCGGGGGGTGCTCTGGTGCATCACACACATCACACATACACGCACGCTGGGGTGTCCACACATCTCGAGCATGTGCCGGCGGCATGCATGTTGGTGTGCATGTGTAATCACGCCTGCTGCAATCTACGTGCGGGGGCGGGGTGTCCGTGGCTGGGTGAGGTCCAGGGACACCAGGGTCTGCCATGAAGGTGGAGGAGGGATGGGGCTGCCTGGGTCTGTTTTGGGGGTGAGCCTGGAGCAGGGGATGGAGTGAAAGGAGTGGTGGGGGGTATTGCTCCCAATGTGGTGGGGGAGGGGTCTGGGAGAGAGAAAGTGGGGGGGCCTACAAGCCCAGCGTCCCCCCAATGGATGACGCCAAGACCACCCCCAGCACCACACAGCAAATGATGATCATGATTTTCTTCTGCAGCAGAAAGAGGAGTGAGACAGGGAGACAGTGGGAGAGACCAACAGACGGACAGATGCAGGGACAAACGGGGCAGAGGGTGACAGGGAGAAGAGGGAGAGAAAACAGAAACAGGAAGAGGTCAGAGCCAGAGATAAGGCCTCCCGCCCGCTGCCATCACTCACCTCAGCCCAGGCTCAGCCTCGGGCTCCCCGCCTACCCCCAGGCCGCCTGCCCCGCTCACCCTCCGGGCCTTGCTCTGATATTTCACTGCTTTCTTGGTGTCAGACACGGCTCGCTCCACGTAGTCCACGGAATGTTCCACGTTGTACTCGATGCGGTCAATCATCTCTCCCTGCAGACCGAGGAGACATGTACAGGGCGGGGTGGGGGCTGGGCTAGAAGAGGTGACCTTGGCCCCGGGGAGGCTCCCAGGGTGGCATGGGTGGCAGAGCTGGTACCTGGCTCTCCACGAGCATGGCCATGTCCACAAACATGTCGTGCAGCTCTCGGATGCTGGTCTCCAGCTTGATGATCTCATTGTGCCTCGTCTCGATCTCGTTCAACGCCTGCTTTGTCATCTGTGAGTCCATTTTGATCTAGGGCGAAGAAGGGGAGAGCCACGATCACCCTTCACTCCCATGAGCGCCTCCACTGCAGCAAGTGGCCAGGGTCAAATCTGGTGTTATTTACTAGCTGAAACCTTAGGCACATTATTTACCTGCTCTTAGCCTCAGTTTCCCCACCTAGTAAACATGGATCATAACAGTGCCCATCTCACAGGGTAGTTGTGAAGACTGAGTGAGTTAATATGTACATATCAGCCAGGACTGATGGCTCACGCCTGTAATCCCAGCACTTTGGGAGGCCAAGGTGGGCCAATCACCTGAGGTCAGGAGTTCAAGACCAACCTGGCCCACATGGTGAAACCAAGTCTCTACTAAAAATACAAAAATTAGCTGGCGTCGTGGTAGGCACCTGGAATCCCAGCTACTCAGGAGGCTGAAGTAGGAGAATTGCTTGAACTTGGGAGGCAGAGGTTGTAGTGAGCTGAGATCGCACCACAGCATTCCAGTCTGGGTGACAAGAGTGAAATTCCATCTCAAAAAAAAAAAAAAAAAAAAGAGTCAGTGGGTAGAGGCCTGTAAGCCCAGCACTCTGGGAGTCCAAGGCAGGAGGATCGCTTGAGCCCAAGAGTTTGAGGCCAGCCTGGGCAACAGAGCGAGACCTTGTCTCTACCAAAAAAACCCCCAAAAATACAGAAATTAGCTGGGCATGGTGGTGCCTGTGGTCCCAGGTACTCAGGAGGCTGAGGCAGGAGGATTGCCTGAGCCCAGGAGGTCGAGGCTACAGTGAGCTATGATTGCTTTACTGCACTCCAGCGTGGGGGCCACAGAGTAAGACCATGCCTCAAAAAAAAAAAAAAAAAAAAAAAAAGCAAGCCAGTGGGGAAGAGACTTCCACCCACAGTCAGATATGCCTCTTCTCCACAAACACCTAGGCTGAGGCAGGTGACTCACTTCCCAAATTACTCACTGTTCTTACCACATCAAACCACTCCTCTGCTCTACAGCCTGCCATGGCTCCCCACTACCCAAGGCTCCACACCTTCCAGTCAGCAGTCAAGGCCCAGACTCCCTCTACCCTCATCTCCTCCTCATCCTATAAGCCAAAATCATCTAATGGCTGTTTGGACAGTGTTCAGTCTCCCAGTCTGTTTTTTTTTTTTTGGTTTTTGTTCTTTGTTGAGACTGGGTCTCACTCTGTCGCCTAGGCTGGAGTACAGTGGTGCAATCATAGCTCACTGCAGCCTTGACCTTCTGGGCTCAGGCAATCCTCCCATCTCAGCCTCCCAAGGAGCTGTGACCACAGGTACACACCACTATGCCTGGCTAATTAAAGCATGTGATTTCACCATAGAACTGATTCGCCTACATTAAAAGAAATTGTTTTTTAAATTAAAAAAAACTTTTTTGGGGCCAGGCACAGTGGCTCATACCTGTAATCCCAGCACTTTGGGAGGGTGAGGCGGGCGGATCATGAGGTCAGGAGATCGAGACCAGCCTGACTAACATGGTGAAAACCCATCTCTACTAAAAATACAAAAAAATTAGCTGGGTGTAGTGGTACACGCCTGTAGTCCCAGCTACTTGGGAGGCTGAGGCAGGAGAATTGCTTGAACCCAGGAGGTGGAGATTATAGTGAGCTGAGATCGCACCACTGCACTAAAGCCTGGGCGACAGAATGAGACTCTATCTCAAACAACAACAACAACAAACTTTTTTTTGTAGAGATGGGGTTTCACTTTGCTGCCCAGGCTGGTCTTGAACTCCTGGGCTCAAGCGATTCACCTGCCTTGGCCTCCCAAAGTACTGGGATTGCAGGTGTGAGCCACCATGCCGGGCTGCTCAATGCATTTTAAGAAAGATCAGTTCTCCAAATAACAGTGAGCTGAAAACTGTTAAGACAGTCATAGCACATACTTTAAACCTAGTCTAGAACCCTTAACCAGAGTCATTTTGCTACCAGAAGCAGAAATGAAGACTGGAGTGGGCAGGCCGGGGCAAAGGTCCACTGAGAGAAACAAGAACTAGGTTCGGGGAAAGCCCATCCTTTCTTTTTTTAAGAGACGGATTCTTGCTCTGTTGCCCAGGCTGGAGTGCAGTGGCAGGATCTTGGCTTACTGCAACCTCCGCCTCCCAAGTTCAAGTGATCTTCGTACCTCAGCCCCCCTAGCAGCTGGGATTACAGGCATGCGCCACCATGCCAGGCTAATTTTTGTATTTTTAGTAGAAACGGGTTTTCTACATGTTGGCTAGGCTGGTCTTGAACTCCTGACCTCAGGTGATCCACCCACATTGGCCTCCAAAAATGCTGGGATTACAGCCCTGAGCTTAAAAGGACAAGGGCAGCGCGGGGTCAGGGGTGAGGGGACCTAAGCAAAACTCAACTTGTTTAAAAAAAAAAAAAAAAAAAAAAGCCGGGGGCGGTGGCTCAAGCCTGTAATCCCAGCACTTTGGGAGGCCGAGGCGGGTGGATCACGAGGTCAAGAGATCGAGACCATCCTGGTCAACATGGTGAAACCCCGTCTCTACTAAAAATACAAAAAATTAGCTGGGCATGGTGGCGCGTGCCTGTAATCCCAGCTACTCAGGAGGCTGAGGCAGGAGAATTGCTTGAACCCAGGAGGTGGAGGTTGCGGTGAGCCGAGATCGTGCCATTGCACTCCAGCCTGGGTAACAAAAGTGAAACTCCGTCTCAAAAAAAAAAACTCTTTAGCCAGGAGTGGTGGTGGGCACCTGTAATGCCAGCTACTCGGGAGGCTGAGGCAGGAGAATCACTTGAACCTGTGAGGTGGTGGTTGCAGTGAGCCGAGATCGCAACACTGCACTCCACCCTGGGGCATAAGAGCGAGACTTCATCTCAAACAAAAAACTGAAAACAAACAAACAAACACATCTTCCAAATATAGGCAAATTAGGCTAAGTTTCATGATTCACATCTGTAATCCCAGCACTATAGGAGGCTGAGGCAGGTAGATCGCTTGAGCCCTGGAGTTCGAGACCAGCCTGGGCAACAGAGGAAGACCCCCCACCCCCACCCCCGCCATCTCTACGAAAATAGTTTTTTCAGGCGAGGCTCGGCAGCTCATGGTTGTAATCCCAGCACTTTGGGAGGCCAAGGTGGGTGGATCATCTGAGGTCAGGAGTTCAAGACCAGACTAGTCAACATGGTGAAAACCCATCGCTACTAAAAATACAAAAATTAGTTTGGTGGTTGCGCGCCTGTAATCCCAGCTACCTGGGAGGCCGAGGCAGGAGAATTGCTTGAACCCAGGAAGTGGAGGCTGCAGTGAACTGAAATTGCACCATTGCACTCCAGCCTGGGCAACAAGAGCAAAATTCCATCTTACAAAACAAAAACAAAAACATTTTTAAAATTAAAAACAAATATATATAAAAATATATATAAATGTAGGCAAATCCGTTCTCTGGTGACACGACCTGCTTCAACAGCAGAGTATGTGGTGCATCCTATGGCTCAAGAGTTCTGACTCTGAAATTAAGACAGATTTCAAGTCCTGGCTCTGCCCCTTGCTCTGAGATCTTGCCAAGTGATTTCATCTCTCTGGGCCAGTATTCCTCTTCTGTGAAATGGGGTTCCCTCGAAGGGGTGTGTGAGGATTAAATGAGTTGGTGGGTGAATGTGATGATGGAAAGTGCTTAGAACAGTGCCTGGCACACGACTCCGCCATCTGATGGGGGTGCCTTCCTGCTTCACTCCCATGGAATTCCCCAGTTGCAGGCTCAGGCTTCCTGTTGCTCATTTTTCCAGGGTGGCTTTGGGACCTTAGTTCAACCTGAACTTAGGGAGGGGAGGCAAAACCTTTCCAGAAACACAGCCCGCCCCACCCGCGGCTCACGTCGTCTGTGAAGATGGCCAGCTTTCCGCTCTCCAGCATGTCTTCCAGTTCTTCATTGGTCGTGGTCCTTCCAGCTGCGGAAAGAAAGGACTCCCTGCTCAGGGGCTGGGGTGATGGAGCAGGGACCCGGAGCCCACCGTCCCACCCTGCCTTAGGCCAGGCGCCTCCTCCAGAGAGGAAAGGCCCGCAAGGACTTGGGCAGCCCCGGGGGGAGTTTGGGGTCCTGGGGTGGGGGACACACGCACTGATCTCCAGTTGCCGCTGAATTCGGTCCTTGCAGCGGTCCCGGTACTTGGACTGGGTCGCGTTATATTCAGTCATTACCTCCACGAACTTCCGGGACAGTGTGGAGTGCTAGGGTGGGGGTGGGAGCACAGACGGATCAGGGAGGGAGTCAGGGAGCAGAGACCGAGGTGGGAGAGGAGGCAGTGCATGGGCAGAATGCGTAGGACGCGCTGAATTAGTTTAACGGTCCGTTCTTCAGCTTGGGGTGCGATCCCAAACCCTGACAGGTTCAGGTCCCCTACGAGCCGGGTACACACTTCTTATGCCAGCACTAGGAAGAGACACAGCTCTGGCGCTAAGACGCAGCTCGGCCCCGCCCTCCACGAGCCCTGCCCCTCCCCGCCCCTCCCCGCCCCTCCCCGCCCCCGTCCTCCATGACCACGCCCCCGTCCTCCATGACCACGCCCCCGCCGGTGCAGTGGGGGCCCTGGCCGGCCCGCCCACCTCCAGCCTGGTCCCAGCCCGGCCCCCGCTGGGCTGCTGCCTCCTACCTGGGTCTTGCGGATGCGCAGGTCCGCGGAGGAACGGTTCAGCCCCTCCTCTTGTTCAATGCTTTGCTCGATCGCTGCGGAAGAGAGGGCGCGGTGACGGGCGGGAGGACCGGGGCACATGGGGTGGGGGTCCGGGACGTACAAAGGGTCAACACCCCGCGGCAGCGCCGGGCCCCGGGAGAAACGTCATGCCCTGGGCGAGTGCGGGCAGCGGTGCCCCAGGGTGGGGTTAGGAGCCAGGAGACAGACAGACAGACATTTGAGGATTCCGAAGGCCAGCAGAAGAGGATACTGAGGGTCAGACGGTCACCGGACAGAAGGGAGCTATTTGTTATAGTCGCAGAACTGAGTCTTGGAAAGTCCCACCAGTGGTAACTCCTGTCCAACCCCATGAGGGGGTGCCAGCCCAGCCCGCGGAGGGGCCCTGAATGTGGGGTGCTCCCCACTTCCTACAACCTCTGGACAAGGGGCAAGAACGCAACCTGCGTTTTTTCTAGTGGAAGGCAGGCATCTCTAGGTGGGTCGGGTTCTCGTGGCCCCTCTTTCCCTGGGGAATTCAAGGGCAAACATATGAATATTCCAGGGGAGAAAGCAGCCCTCCCCCTGCTCTGCAAGGTGATCCCCGATCTGGGAATTCCTACTTCTGAAGGATGTTCTGGAAAAGTGCACAGATTAACTGAGATTCCTGCTTCTGGATCACGCACTCTTGACACTATCATTCCGATTTTCTAAAAAAGAGATTGTGGGAAAATCTACCTCGGTGAGATCAGAAAATGCAGCAGGGATGAATCACCGGCCTCTCAGACCTCGAGGCCTCCGGGCCGCTCCTGAGAGCCTCACTCCTCCTCTGTTCTGCTGGCAATGGGGGAGGTACTGGCCGGATGGCAACCCGAGGCTCCCCCGACTGAGTGACAGCTCTGGCCCAGCAACATGCGGCCCAGGGATACCAGACTCTGCTGGCCCAGACTGGGACCCGACTGTCAGCCTTGGGGCTGGGGCCAAGTCTGGAGGGAGGAGGTCTCTTACAGGATCTCACTGACTTTTTACAATATTCCTGGGAGTTCGGTGATATCAGCTCATGTTTTAGACTAGAAACTGAGGTTCCAGTGGGTGAAACCACTCACTCAAGGTCACACTCAAAGCCTGAGCTCCTGCCACCAGCTGGAAGAAGAGGAAGAGAATCTTCTCTCCTTTCCTGGTGGTCTCAAAGGTTAGTTTTTCTAAACCACAGCCACTTTTTCCAACTGCTTTCTCCATTTATTCCTGAACCCCTCACCCACAGAGCCCTCCCTATGGTCTTATAGAGAGCATTCAAGGTCAAGGCTTGAGGGGCCTAGAGAAACCATTGAGCCCAGGGGATTTTAAACTGCCAGCAGGAACCTTGTTTCTGAGAAGGAATTTCAGGGGCTGTTACAGAGAATGAAGGGAGGCCTCCAGCTCCAGCTCAGATAGAACAACCTGACTTTTATGTTTTATATATTGAGATTCTTTGTATGACTTTGAAAAAAAAGATTCTGATGCTCCCCACCCCCTAAAAAACAAGCCAATTTTGACATTGCTTTCATTTGTCTTACTGTACTGATAAGGAAGCTGAGGGTAGGGGACTTGTCCAGGGTGAGCTGATGGTTAGAGGCCGGATTCGCACATAATGTGCTCCCAAATGCAGACAGTTCCATCCAGCAAACTCTCCTGAGTACAAAGGGCTTGTTTTCACAGATCTGAATCAGAGGCTCACATATGGCCTCCCCTTGAGTCCAGAGGGCATGGAGTTACTACTCTCCTCTCCCTGGGCCAAGGTCAGTGCTCTGGGGGACAGGCAGCTGATACAGCTCCTCTTCCCCAAAGCCTAGCAATGTGCCTCGGACATTGGAGGTGCTCGGCATACGTTTTCCAATACTGACTTACCAGGGGCACGCAAAACAGCATGCCAGTAACACTGCTATTTTTCCCTGGTATGAGCAGACAAGGAGGTTCCCAACCCACGGTGCTTTGGGGAAAGGTGGTTATTACCAGCACCCAAGTCCTAAAATTACAGTGAATAAATGAACATTTGGCAAGTCCCTCTTGAAAGCTTGCCAGCCCCTGATGTCAGCCACACAAGTCCAATCCGTCCTGAGCCAAGGATACTGATTCAGAGGCATTTGCTGGGCCCACCCACTGGGTGCTCTGTGCTATGCCAGGGGCCTGCTCAGGAGAAATAAGGACTTAATGAAACTGAAGCCACTTGGAAGACCACCTTTTTCTGGTGAGCCCTCATGCTGGTAGAAGCAGCAGGGCTCAGATGCAGTTTACACAAACACTCTCATCTCCCTCATTTCCTATCATATATCTTTCTCCAAAGAATTGGAGCAAAGGAGAAAGCTGGGGTTTTGTGCTTTCTCACTGTTTAATAATCTGGCTCCTGGAACTTTGTAGAAATTCCTTGGAGAAAGTCCTATTTTGCCCAATGGATGGCAGAGGTTTGTTTTTTCTTTACTTTTCTCTTTTTTTTTTTTTTGAGGAGTCTCGCTCTCTCGCCCAGGCTGGAGTACAGTGGCAGGATCTCAAATCACTGCAATCTCCACCTCCCAGGTTCAAGTGATTCTCCTGCCTCAGCCTCCCAAGTGGCTGGGATTATAGGCACCCACCACCATGCTTGGCTAATTTTTGTATTTTTAGTAGATAGGAATTTTTTAGATAGGAATCTTACCTACCTAATATTTTTTAGATAGAAATCTTACCATTTTGGTCAGGCTGATTTCGAACTCCTGACCTTAGGTGATCTGCCTTTCTTGGTCTCTCCCAAAGTGCTGGGATTACAGGATGAGCCACCAAGCTCGGCCTTTTTTTTTTTTTTTTTTTTTTGACATGGAGTTTCGCTCTTGTTACCCAGGCTGGAGTGCAATGGCGCGATCTCGGCTCACCGCAACCTCCGCCTCCTGGGTTCAGGCAATTCTCCTGCCTCAGCCTCCTGAGTAGCTGGGATTACAGGCACGTGCCACCATGCCCAGCTAATTTTTTTGTATTTTTAGTAGAGACGGGGTTTCACCATGTTGACCAGGATGGTCTCGATCTCTTGACCTCGTGATCCACCCGCCTCAGCCTCCCAAAGTGCTGGGATTACAGGCTTGAGCCACCGCGCCCGGCCTTTTTTTTTTTTTTTTTTTAGACAGGGTCTCGATCTGTAACCCAGGCTGGAGTGCTGTTGCATGATCTTGGCTTACTGCAGCCTCTACCCCCGGACTCAAGTGATTCTCATACCTCAGTGCCCTAAGTAGCTGGAACCAAGGCACGCACTATCACGCCCAGCTAATTTTTGTATTTTTTGTAGAGACAGAATTTTGCCATGTTGCCCTGGCTGGTCTTGAACTCCTGGGATCGAGCAATTGGCCTGGCCTTGGCCTCCCAAAGTGCTGGGATTATAGGCCTGAGCCACCGTGGTCCGCTTACAGTTCTGTTCCTTCCTGGTTGAGGGGTTGTACTCCTCACCTTTCAATTTGGACCGAACCTTGTTGGCCGTCTTCTTGATGTCTGCAGTGAGGTCCTCCAGCTCCTGTTTGGTCTCTGAGGGGAGGGCAAGGGCAGGTGAGAGGTGTAGCTGGGAGCCACAGGCCCCTTCTCCTCCCACCCCACAGCCACTAGCAGCCACACTCACTCTCATCTGGGTTGGGGGCAGCCAGGATGGCGCTGTGCTGTTTTTTCACCTGCTCCACATCCTCCGACAGTTTCTCAATGCAGCCCCGGATCTCTTCCACCTGGAGCAGAAAATCGGCTATATCCAGCCAAGTTGTCAGGCCAAACAAGGGGTTCCAGGGGAACCAGCCAGGGTTCAAGGGAATGGCCCAGCCCCAGAAGGGCTGATAAAAGGCCAGGGAGGGTGCAGGGGCAGAGAAGTGGGGAACAGGGAAAAGGAAGTTGTTGGTGGCTAGGGGCTGGGGCTAGGGCTAGGGCTGGGGCTGGGGCTGGGGCTCAGGCTGGGCTCTGGGGCTGGGGCTGGGGCTCAGGCTGGGGGCTGGGGCTGGGAGCTGGGGCTCAGGCTGGGCGCTGGGGCTGGGGCTGGGGCTGGGGCTGGCATTGGGGCTAGAGGCTGGGGCTGGGCGCTGGGGCTGGACTCTGGGACTGGGTGCCAGGGCTGTGTGCTGGAGTTGGACGCTGGGGTTGGGGGCCTTGGAGGCCCATTACCTGTTCAAAGAACTCATCCATAAAGTGGTCCCGATCCACGTGGACCACCTCCTCTTCATCATCACTGTCTTTCGCCTGGGGGCAAAGGAAGGCTGAGTCTGCGAGCAGCCCCTATCTGGGTTCCCAAGGTGGGCTCTCCAAGTCTCCCACCCTCTCCCTGCCACACATACACTGGTGCTCCCAGCTCTAGACTCAGAGAAGGGTCCTGGGAAGGGTCCCATACAGGGGAGATGGCAAAGGCACCAAAAGTATCTGTCAGCCCAAAGGATTCCTTAGAGGAAATTGGAAGAGACCCTCTCTCGGGGCGGATGTGACCTTGTGGGTGCAGAGTCAGCCTTGACCACCCAGTAGGGATGATTTCAATATTTCAGCAACCGGCTGAACGTTAGGTTTGCAGTAACTGACCCTGGGCTCTGTGAAGGGTCCTGGACCAGAGTCCCTGGAGCCTGGACCTCCCTGCTGCCCCTGTTCTCCTGCCCGTATCTCATTTTACTCCCTTTCTCTTCCCCTCCTGCTGCACCCAGCCAGACACGTCGCCTATGCAAGGTCGCTTCACTGCCAGCAGCAGGCGCCAAGTTGAGCAAACAGTGAGGGCTGGATAAGAGACACAGGCAGCACCCCGACCTCCCTCATGTCCTGCGCCCCCCTCTTCCCACCCACTCCCCTCCCAGCCGGCTCTCCCTTGAGGTGGATTCACTTGCTTTCATCCAGCCCCTTCCAACTTCACACCCACCTACTCTCGCTGGCTTGGGTTTCCCAGTTGCAACCTGCAGCTGCTCAACCCTCCATCCGCAGGGCTCACAGACACAAAAGGATCTACCCACCCACAGCACCACTGCCACCGACAGACTCGAGACACAGACAGAAGAGCTGACACCCAAGGCACGCGAGAATAGGCCCCCTGACACCCACACGGAGATGCATGGATGCTGGCATTCACCCGCACGCAGACTCACAGCTGAGCCGCACTGACACGTGTGGACACACTGGCGTTCAGCCGCACCCCCAGGGACATTTGGGAGGGCTCACTGGGCTTGTTCTTTCAGCTTCTCCAAGCCTCACGTCTGCACACATGCTTGGAGCTGGGCAGGCAGAGAGGCCGTAGGGAAGCGCCCTGTGCTACACACGCCCTAGGCCTTCCCTGCTTGGGACAGAGGTCTGAAGGCAAAATCTCAACGCATCAAGTGTAGTGACATCTGGAGCCCCAGCCAGCCCCAGTGGAAATGTATACAGAGTTCATTCTGATTTCCAGAAAGAACCAGCTGAGCTCAGACAGAATCCAACCCCCAGAGCCTGGGTGAAATCAAGGCAGGATCCAAGCAGCATCCACCTGGTAGTCAGTTGGAATCCAAAAAGGAGAGCTCGCCAGGGCCCAGCGGAAGGCAGACAGGGCCTAACAGAAACCAGACAGGCTCAGACAGAACGAGCCGAGGCTCACACAGATCCCAGACAGAGCCCAGACAGCTCAGATCGAACCTAGACAGAGCCAGATGGGACCTAGGTGCAGTCCCCACAGCCACAACTCAGGATCAGCAGTGCCCAACAGGCTCATGAAAAGCCCGCACGGCCGGGGCTTCCAGCTCCTGAAGCCACCCCAGCCTCCTGCCCAAGCCTGGCTCAAATGGAACTCCAGGGATTCTCCACACAGACGCTGGGCCCCCACTGTGTTGGAAAATGTGCTCAGCACTTGTGTTGAATTTCCAGACAATCCCAAACATCTGCCTGGAAAGGGGGTTCCCTCCGTCTTGGCTCACAGCTGCCCCCAGAAGGGAGGGTGGTGCAGGTGGCATAAGTTGGGGACCCTGGGAGGCTCTGGGATGCTGGGCTCACCTCTGAGGACCCACTGGTCTTCCATGATGCTCTTCACCTTCTCTGTCCTCACAAACCAGCTGTGCCACAAGGCCTCCTTCCCTTAGAGCCAAAAGCTTCCCTTTGCCCTTTCTCTCCCTTCAACCGCTCACTCAGCTGCCAGCCTCATGCAGGTCATGAGGCCTTTCCCTGGCCCGGGTGCCTGACGACCTTCCTGTTCTCTGTCTCTCTTCCCTCCCATGCTAACATTAGGAAGTCCTTCCTAAAGTCTAATTTCAATCTCTCTTGTTCTTGGAGCCAACTCCCTGAGGCACCTCTCTGGAGCACCCTGGGCTACCTATTTGCTTGCCCTCAAGAGGCGAAGAAAGATAGAAGGCCCAAGAGGGATTGCTTTTGGTATAATAATTACAAAGAGAGCTGGGCGCCAATAATCCTCTGCCATTTACAAACACTTTTACGTCCATAATCCCTTTTGATCCTCAGCACCACAGCCCTGCGAGAAAAGCTGCGCAAACATCATTGTCCCCATTTCACAGATGAGGGAACAGGAGGCCAGAGGGGAAAAAGGAGAGTGACTTGCCCAAGGACACCAGGCCACAGAGGACCGGAAAACCATAGGCATCCAGCCCCACAAAGACCCCTGTGAGGCTCCAGACTGGGTCACCTGCCCTACTGGCTCTCCACTCTCAGTTACTCTCCCTCACAGGTACTCTCCGCTCCCAGGTACTCTCCCTCTCAGGTACTCTCCCTCTCAGGTACTCTCCGCTCCTAGTTACTCTCCCTCTCAGGTACTCTCCCTCCCAGGTACTCTTCACTCCCAAGTACTCTCCCTCTCAGGTACTCTCCCTCTCAGGTACTCTCCCCTCCCAGGTACTCTCCCTCTCAGGTACTCTCCACTCCCAGGTACGCTCCCTCTCAGGTACTCTCCACTCCCAGGTACTCTCCCTCTCAGGTACTCTCCACTCCCAGGTACTCTCCGCTCCCAGGTACTCTCCACTCCCAGGTACTCTCCCCTCCCAGTTACTCTCCCTCTCAGGTACTCTCCACTCCCAGGTACTCTCCCTCTCAGGTACTCTCTGCTCCCAGGTCCTCTCCCTCTCAGGTACTCTCTGCTCCCTGGTACTCTCCCTCTCAGGTACTCTCCTGTCCCAGTAACTCTCCCTCTTAGGTGAGCTCCTGCTAAGTTCTGATCTGGGTAAGGCTCTGTGCTGGACAACCTAGCAAAATATGATCACTTGATAGTATTTTTTGCAGAAGTCTTACATTCTTACTATTTCATTTAATCTTCGTTAGAACTCTGTAAGGACCATTGGCCAACATAATTATAATTATGCAAACATTTAGAGGGTGTTTTACAATGTGGTGGGCTCTATTCTATGTGTTCCAGTGTATATCTACCCATTTCATTCTTACAGCAGCCCCTCAGAGGTATTACTGTAACCCCCTTTTATAGATGAGGAAACTGAGGTATAGAGCTAAATAACTCAGGCCAGTTGTGGTGGCTTATGCCTGTAATCCCAGCACTTTGGGAGGCTCTGGTGGGAGGATTGCTTGAACCCAGGAGTTCAAGACCAGCCTGGGCAACATAGCAAGACCATGTCCGTACAAAAAATACAAAAATTAGCTGGGCATGGTGGTGCGCATATGTAGTCCCAGCTACTTGGGAGGCTGAGGCAGGAGGATCCCTGGAGCTCAGGAGGCTGACAGCCTGCAGTGAGTCATGATGGCACCTCTGCACTACAGCCTGGGTGACAGAGCGAGACACTTGTCTCTTAAAAAAAAAAAAAAAAAAGAGCTTGTGGGGTCAGCAGCTGGAAGACTGTATGGTTCTACCCCTGAGCCTCCGTCTCTGCGCTTGCTGAATGGGAACAATGCCTACTCTTGGCCACTCCCATATTGTAGACAAGAAAACAGGCTCAGAGTGGTTGCCTGGCCTGTCTAAGGCTTCACAGCAAATGAGGCCAGAGGTGGGACCTGAACCGGGGACTGTCTGGTACTAAATGTCACATTCTCTCCTTTCTGCCCTGCTGACAGATGGCAGTCCTTCCTGGTCCCAAAGAGCCCGCTCTGTCATGTCCTCAGGATCGCTGAACTCCTGCCGCCAGGATGGAAATCAGCAGGAGGGGCCCAGGGCTGCAGGCAGAGCCTGGACAGGAGGCCAGGCCTCCCAGCCTCCGTCTGACGTGCTGTGTGACCCTAGGCAAACCTTGGCTCCTGTCTGGATCCCAGTTCCCTTGTCACTGAAATGAACAGGCTGGTTCAAGTGCTAACCCTGCTCTGAGGGGCCCTTCCTGCTCTGAGGGGTGCATATCTAGTAATGAGCACAGCCTCTGTTCCTGGAAGAAGTTAGGCCAGCCAAAAAGAAAGCAGGCTGTGGGCAAACCAGACTACCTAAGAAAAGGTGATCAAATGCGTCCCAGTCCACTTTATGGTGGCCTCAGGTTACAGATGAATGAGTCAAGCCTCAGTTTCCTCATGTGCAAAATGAGGAGGATAACAGTTTACAAACATCTAACACATATGTGCTGATGACCATGAATTGGGCCCTGTTACAAGCACCTTGTGTTTCTTTCTTCCTTTCTTTTTTTTTTTTTTTTTTTTTTTTTGGAGAGACGAGGGTCTCACTACGTTGCCCAGGCTGGTCTCCAACTCCTGGGGTCAAGAGATCCTCCCTCCTTGACCTCCCAAAGGGGTGACGGGCATGAGCCACCGCATCCAACCTGCATTTCTTCTTTAATCCTCACGACCACCCCATGAGGTCACATTCTTATTCTCACTGGACAGATGGGGAGACGGAGGCGCAGAGGGATTGGATAACATGCCCAAGATCACACAGCTGACGGGGTGACTGGAACCCTGGCACTCTGCTCTACATACAGCACACGGCTCCTTGAGCACTTGAGAGAGATTGAATGAGAGAGTGCAGTGCCCCTGAGCCCCTTCCAGAACCACCTGGCGGCTTCGCACATCAGATCCAAGCCTCCAGCTGCAGCCTGACCCCCTCGGAGGCCCCCCAAGTCTAGGTCTTCCACACCGGGGCCACCACGGGCGGCGTGTGTGTGTCCATGTGGAGTGATGACAAGGACAGATCCTCAGATACAGAAACGGAAGGAGGAGAGTGACAGTGAGAGCCAGTAAGTCAGTGACCAGAGAGACAGATGGTAAGACGGTGACAAAAACACAGAGGCGGCAAGTGACTGGAATTGGGTGACAGAAAAGTCAGAGAGAGAGTGTGTGCGTGTGCGTGTGTGTGTGTGTAAACACACGCATGCCCAAGCACTGACACACACGGGCTCCCCATGCTCCTCAGGGGTGCAAGCATCATCGTTCGATCAGAGGCAGCAGCCTCCCCCGGTGCGCCTTCCCCCACCCTCCGCTTCAGTCCATCTGTCTCCCTGGCCGGGGCCTCTCCTCCCTCTCCTCCCTCCCTCCCTCCCTCTGTCCAGCCCGGCCCTCTCACCTAGACCTCTCTCCTTCATCTTTCCTGCCCCAACCCCTGCCTCTTCCTCATCCTCCCTCTGTCTCACGGAGTTGTCATTCATCTAACAGATACATCTGATTTGTGCCAGGTGCTCTTCTGGGTGCTGCTGGCGATGCGGTGGTGAAGAAGACAGGCAAGAAGGGCCTGGCTCCAGGGAGGGGGCATTCCAGTGGGAGAGGCAGGCAATGGTAGGCAAACAAGACACTTCAGATTGTGCTGAATGGCAGGAGGGAGATAAGCAGAAACATGGGATCGAGAGACATGGGGATCGGGTAAGGCGTTCTACAGGACGATCAGCAGGGCCTTTCTGGGGAGGTGACATCTGAGCTGGGCCCTATGGGAGCCAACTGTGGCACAATGCTGGGGAGAGAGAATTCAGGGCGGAAAGAACAGCATGCTGGGCAGAGGGAACAGCATGTGCGAAGGTCCTCGGACAGAGGTAAACTTGTGTGCTTGGATGGCAGAAAGAAGCCCAGTGCTGGCCGGGCATGGTGGCTCATGCCTGGAATCCCAGCGCTTGGGGAGAGTGAGGTGGGAGGATCGTTTGAGGACAGGAATTCAAGATCAGCCTGGTCAACATAGACCCTGTCTCTACAAAAATAAAAAACAATTAGCCAGGCATGGTGGTGCGCGTCTGTAATCCCAGCTACTCGAGAGGCTGAAGCGGGAGGATCCCTGGAGCCCAGGAGGTCGAAGCTGCAGTAGGCTGTAATTACACCGCTACACTCCAGCCTGGGCAACAGAGGAAGACCACATCTCTAAAAACATTTTTTTTTTTTTTAATATTAAAAAAGGCAGGCCAGAGCAGCTGGAGGATACGGATCCATCACTCAGGATTCGCTGGTCTCGGCCTCCTGTGATTTCAGGGCTGTATTTCCAAAGCACCTACTGCGCCTGCCCCTTACCTGAGGGCCCTCGGGGCTTGGGACGGTCCTCAGCACCTTCATCCTGTCCAGCCTCAGATTCAAGCTCTCGCACTGCAGGCCCCTCCTTCCTCCCAGGCTGCCTCCCTACTTCTCCCGCCCGACTCCACAGCTGCCTCTCAGACCTCAGCCCTCCCTGTGCCCCTCCTGTCTTCTCCCCTAAACTACCTTCCTCTGCACCTCACTTGCCCCCCTCTTTCCTCTTGAGCCCCACTCTGGCCTGATTCCTTGGACCTTGGGACACCATTTCAGCTGATTACCTCCTTATTGCAGCCTCATCCAGCCCACTGCCAACCAGAGGAGCCTGGTGAACTGGACGCAGAAAATCCTAGTTGAAGCTCAGCTCGACCATTAGGAGCTATCTGACCTTGGCCAAGTCAGGTTCTTTTCCCCTCTAGTCCTCTATGTACTCCAAAATAAAATAGGGGCAACGTCCTGCCCATCTCAGGGGGCTTGTGTGATGTTGAAGAGAAATAAACAAGCTATCTGTTGGATAACAGACACAGCATTGCTGGGCACCAGGGCCCCTCCTAGGCACTTGATGCATCTTAACTACCTTCAATCCTCAGGATAACCCTGTGAAACAGGTACTCTTACTTCTCCCAATTCGCACATGAAGCAATTGAGGACCAGAGAGGTTAAATAACTTGCCCAAGGTCACACAGGAAGTGGCAAAATTAGAATTTGGACCTAGACAGTCTGGCTCCCGAAACCACTGTGTGACAAACGGACTTGAGAATCCCTTGGGAATGCCAAGGTACTGCTGGAAAGACAATCAGCCCCCTAGGTTAACGTCCCCTCCCACCACCGCCCTGCCTCACCCCTCCTAGTGTCTCAGAGACCCCGTTTCCAGGTCCCCCACACCCTTCCTGGTGTCTGCTGCATCCCAGCCTCCTCGCTGTCGACTATAGCAGGGAGACCCTTACCTTACCTGAATCTCAGCTTTTCCCACCCCACCCGCCCCCTCTTAAATCTCCAGTTTCCCTGAGCTGTGACTAATACCGAAGCCACCATATCCACTCAGCCCCTTCACCCTCCACACCACCTCCTGCAGCCCCAGCCGACAGGATTCCTCACCTCTGAGCACCGGCCCCTGACTCATTCATGAGGCTTCCCCCTCTCCTGCCTCCCCCTCTATTACCACTTAGCCTTTTCCCTCCCTCTTTCTCCAATCATACCCCAATTCTACACCACCTGATCCCAACCCACTTCCATCCCCCTGGGTTTTGGAGTCATGGAATAGTCTTGGTATCAGGGGAGCTGGATTCAAGTCCGGATCCCTCACTTGTTAGCTGTGTGACCTTGGGCAAGTTATTCAACCACTCCTGGCCTCAGTTTCCCCAACTCTAAAATGAGAGAGCCTCTCTATCCACTTGCCAGGAGGTCGGTGGGGCTCTAATGAGATCACAGACGAAAGCTTGCTCTGCAAATTGCAAACTGCACTGTGAGGAGGGGAATTGACAACACCGATGCTGAAGCTGGCCTGCCTGGGTTTGAATCCTGCCTTTACCAGCTGCGTGACTTTGGTTTAATTACTTAACCTCTCTGAGCTCAATGTCTTTGTCTATAAAATGAGAGAACATATATCTATATGTCTAAAAAGATATTTATATATCTATAAAATGAGACAAACAACCTCATAGGATTGCTGTGAGGATCAAAATGAGTGAAAATGCATAAAACACTTGGAACAATGTTTATTATTACAGTCATTTTACTCATGCCTGAGTGTATATTCAGTAAAAATGTAATAAAGAAAGAAACCTTCAAAATTCCCTCCCTCAGCTGCCAGCTCCTCCTTGCTTCCCACTTGGCAACCTGTCTGTCCCCAGAGACAGCGGTCACTTGCCTCCAAGTACCTTCTCCTCGTCTGTCCATAACCTGAGTCCCCAGCCCCAAACCCAGGGCAGAGCTCTTTACCCCCAGTGCTGAAACTTCTGTTTGAAAGGCCAGAAAAGCAGAGACCTGTGTCAACCTGGCAGACAGGAAACCCAGACTGCAGTCTGCCCCCCACCCACTTGCTTGGTGACCTTGGGCAAGTCTTTTCCCATGCCTGAATCTCAGTTTCCTCATCTGTCAAATGGGGTAATAACCCCTGGGGTAACAAGCGGCCGGGTCCCATAAAGGTGCAGTGCACTGGGCAGGCCTGGCCGGGCCATACCCTTATTAACACACCACCACCAGTCTAGCACGGAGCAGACTGTCGCGCTGCCTCCTCGGGCCCCAGGTCATTTCTTCAAACGCCCGGCGTCCTCCCTGCCCCAGAAACCATGCTCATCCAGCCCCACTCCCCAGATTCTCCAGGCAGCAACCTCCACTGCAGTCCCTCCCCTGTCCCCCTAAAACCAGGGACTGCCTGGCCAGACTCCTGGAGCCGGGCCTCTACAGGCCTGCAGACGTGGGGCCTGCACCAGCCCTTGACTGCCCGGGGTGCCCCAGTTCCCCCCAGCAGAGCGGGGTCTGTGGTACACAAGCCAGTTCCATGGCCCTCTCCTCCACATCCCCATCTCCCATCTCTGGGTCACCCTGTCTCAGGCCCTGGCCCTCTGGCTCTCTCCAGGGAAGCCACCTCTTCCCCTCCTGTCTTGGAGGGATGCCCGCTCCCTACACGGAGTGACACGCGCGTGTGCACACACACACACACACACACACACACACACACACACACTTCATTCACTGCCAGGTGCCGGCATCTCAGTCCCAACCTGTGTCCTTCCCCGTAGCATCCCCCGAATCTGGGTCCAGCTAGACTCTCAGCCTGGCCCAGTCACCGCCCCCATCCTTCTCTTTGGCAAACCTGCCCGGGGATGACAGTCCCCTCCGGTCCCTCCTGACATCCACTCTCCCCCATCCCCAGACCAGCCCCCGGGGCCCTCCTGGGAATGTGGGGTGTCCAAGGCCCCTGAGACCTCTCCTGCCCCCTTGTGTCTTAATGGCCTCCAGCCCCTTCCAGCCACTGTCCCCAAAATGCAGGTTCACTGGAGAGAGACATAAGGTGCCTGGAGATATTGGGGTGCCCCAGCTACCAACCTCCGATCTCATCCTTTGCCCCCACGTCCCAGCACCTCCCCCACTCCATCCCCACGCGCTCCCCCAATATTGGGGTCCCGCCCCCCCATTCTCCCCACCCCCAAGCTCACACTCCGCAGCTCCTGAGTCCGATCCTTCATCCTGCGACGGCTCCTCCTCCTCGTCCTCCTGCCTCTGCTGATGCTCCCGGTCTCCCGCCTTGGTGCTGGAGGCCGGGGTCTGGGGGCGCCGGGGGGCGCCGCGGCCGCTGCGGGGGGCCTGCGGGCAGGGGCGGGGCCGGGGGCGGCGGGCTGAGGGCCGGGCAGGGGCAGGGGCCTGGGCCGGGCTCGGCTCTGCCGGGCTGCGGTGGCGATGCGGCTGCGGCACAGGGTAGGATGGAGGGATGCGGGAGCCGAGCGCGGGGGAGGGGGGCGGAGGGAGGTGAGGAGGAAGCGAGGGCGGGGGGAGCGGGAGCGCGCAGGGAGCAGGGGACATGCGCAGCGCCCGGGCCGGGGGCGCCTGGGGGTTGTAGTCAGGGGCTGGGGGGACACCCGGGGAGGGGGCGGGAGAGGCCTGGAGGCGGGTGGGGGCGGGCAGAGCCAGAGGCGCAGGGATAGATGCGGAGAGCCGATCGGAGATGCTGGGGTAGCTGTGAGGAGGGGGTGGCCCGGCGGAAAGAAGGGATGAGGGAATGAATTCAGAGAATAACCTGGGAGCCGGGATGTGGATCCCTTTCCAAGAGACACGGATCGAGGCTGTGTTTTGTGTCTAGTGTCTGCATGAGCCTGCGCGCGACCCCCTCTGGGTGCGGGCCCGTGTGTGTACCTGCAGGAAGCTCTTTGGACACTGGAAATAGGAAGACTGACCCTCTGTGTGGTTTTTACAATGCAGGGAACCAGCCAGGTGCTGGCTGAGAAGGACACAAGGCTTGTGTTGCACACCTGGGCCTCCCCCGCAGCGGTGGGTCTGGGAGCTCTGCTTGTCTGCCTCTGGGGACAAGGTGCTCACTACCTCCCAGGACCTCCTGGCCCATCTGTAGATGGCTCTGACTGTTGAACATGAAATTTGTCCTTAGTGGGGGGGAAACCCGGTGCCCTAAGGGTCTGAGTGACCTCCTCTCCTGATGCCCACCTCTCCTCTCCCCATCCTAACACCACACCACCTCCTCCCTCCCCCTGCAATGGGGCCCTGGCCCCCAATGGGACAGGCCTTGACTCTCAAGAGATCCTCCCACCTCAGCCTCCCAAAGTGCTGGGGTTACAGGCCTGGGCCACCATGCCTGGCATTCTCTTGCCAAGTACCCAGTGACCTCCTTGGTGCCAAATCCATGTCTGATAAACCCTCACCCCACACCACCCATCAAGCCTTTCCATCCCTGACCTCTCAGCAGCATATGACCCTGATGAGCCCCTCTTCCTGAAACCCTCCGGTCCGTGGTGCTCTGCCCACTGCCTGCTCATGCCCCCGCCCCCAACCACTGACCTGTGAGTGTTGTCTCCCAGCCTTCCCTTCTCAACCTCAGCGTTCCCTGGGCTCCATCCATTCTCTTCTCGCTCGGTTTTTGTTTCTGTTTTTGAGATAGGGTCTCATTCTGTCACCCAGGCTGGAGCACAGTGGTGCAATCTTGGCTCACTGCAGCCTCAACCTTCCAGGCTCAAGTGATCCTCCCACCTCGGCCTCCTGAATAGCTGGGACTACAAGCACCTGCCATCATGCCTGGGTAATTTTATGTTTTGTAGAGCCAGGGTCTCACTATGTTGTCCAGGCTGGTCTTGAACTCCTAGGCTCAAGCGATCCTCCTAACTCAGCCTCCCAAAGTGCTGGGATTTCAGGCTTAGGCCACCGTGACCGGCATTCTCTGCTCTCTTTACCCAAGATGCTTTACCCAAGGTGCTTTCTGCACCTCTATGCCTGTAGTGCCCACATCTGTACCTGTGACCTAGATGCCTCCCCCTGTAAGACAGCTGCTACTACGTGCCTAAGCACTGAGCTGGGCACCAAGAAGACAGAGACTGACAACCCCAGCAGAGTCATGAATAGATCCATGACTACAGTGGGCATGGCCAGCGCTGACGTGGGGACCTCAAGGAGGCAGCCGTGTGCTCCCCAAGTGCTCTTTCCTGTGTTCTGCCTCAGAGATGGCATCGTCTCCATCCACCCAGCCACTCAAAGCAGACAGAAAGCTGTCCTTACCTCCCCCCATTATAATGTCTCCACATTCTGGGCATCCACCATGTTGCATTCACTATGCTGGTAGCTCCCAGAAACCTCCTAACCTGACACTAGCCATTGCTATGATCTGAAGTGTACAGACCAGGACACTGAGGCTTTGAATGGTCACATAACATGTCCAAGTTCACAAGGCTAATATAGGTCAGGGCTGGGGTCTTGTTTGCTTTTTTTTTTTTTTTTTTTTTTTAGATGGAGTTTCTCTCTTGTTACCCAGGCTGGAGTGCAATGGCGCGATCTCGGCTCACCGCAACCTCCGCCTCCTGGGCTCAGGCAATTCTCCTGCCTCAGCCTCCTGAGTAGCTGGGATTACAGGCATGCGCCACCACGTCCAGCTAGTTTTTTATATTTTTAGTAGAGATGGGGTTTCACCATGTTGACCAGGATGGTCTCGATCTCTCGACCTCGTGATCCACCCGCCTCGGCCTCCCAAAGTGCTGGAATTACAGGCTTGAGCCACCGCACCCGGCCTTTTTTTTTTTTTTTTTTTTTTTTTAAAGACAGGGTCTCACTCTGTTGCCAAGCTGAAGTGCAGTGACGCAATCACAGCTCACAGCAGCCTGGACCTCCTGGGCTAAAGCAATTCTCCCATCTCAGCCTCCTAAGTAGCTGGGACTTCTGGTGCACACCACTGTCCAGCTAATTTTCTTTCTTTCTTTCGTGAGATGGAGTCTCATTCTGTCTCCCAGGCTGGAGTGCAGTTGTGCAGTCTCAGCTCACTACAACCTCTGCCTCCTGGGTTCAAGCAATTCTCCTGCCTCAGTCTCCCAAGTAGCTATGATTACTGGTGCCTGCCACCACACTCAGCTAATTTCTATATTTTTAGTAGATACAGGGTTTCGCCATTTTGGCCAGGCTGGTCTGGAACTCCTGACCTCAGGTGATCCACCTGCCTTGGCCTCCCAAAGTGCTGGATTACAGGCGTGAGCCACCATGTCTGGCCCTAATTTTCTTGAACTCTCGACCTCAGGTGATCTGCCCGCCTTGGCCTCCAAAGTGCTTGGATTACAGGCGTGAGCCACCACGCCTGGTCCTAATTTTCTTTTTAACTTTTCTTTTTCTTTCTTTTTTTCTTTTTTCTTTTCTTTTTTTGTAGAGATGAGGCTGGTCTCAAACTTCTGGGCTCTCACCTCGGCCTCCCAAGTGCTGGGATTATAAGCATGAGCCACTGTGTCTGACCTTGTTTGTATCTTTTGATTGCAAAACCCCTTTCTTTTTTTAAGAGATGGGGTCTTACTCTGTTGCCCAGGCTGGACTCAAACTCCTGGGCTCAATCAATCTTCCTACCTCGCCCTCCTGAGTGGCTGGCACACCACCACACCTGGCTCAAAGCCCATTCTTGTAAAACCATGCTGTTATATAGCTCCTCTCTCTCAACTGTGACACCGAGAGCCATCTCCTGGGTCCTCTCCTATCCCCACCACCTCCTATCCCCACCACCAGATCAGTCTGGCCCCTCACTGTCTTTTCCCCTGGGTCGTCAGCACAGCCTCCTCTCTGGTCTTCCCACTTGAGCGAAGCCCCTTTTCTTCATGTCTGTCTTCCTCCCCAGTCCTTAATGTGATTGCCCCCAAAACACATGTGATCTGCTGGGTGCTCACGCCTGTAATCCCAGCACTTTAGGAAGCCAAGGTGAGTGGATCACCTGAGGTTGGGAGTTCAAGACCAGCCTGCCCAACAAGGATGGAGAAACCTGTCTCTACTAAAAATATATAATTAGCTGGCCATGGTGGCGGATGCCTATAACCCCAGCTACTCAGGAGGCTGAGGCAGAAGGATCGCTTGAACCTGGGAGGCAGAGGTTGCAGTGAGCCGATATCACGCCATTGCACTACAGCCTGGGCAACAAGAGTAAAACTCCACCTTAAATAAATAAATAAATAAATAAATAAATAAAAATACAAAAATTAGCTGGGTGTGGTGGCATGTGCCTGTAATCTCAGCTACTTAGGGGGCTGCAACAGGAGAATCACTTGAACCCAGGAGGTGGAGGGTGCAATGAACTGACATAGAGCCAATGGACCCCAGTCTGAGCAACAGAGTGAGACTCTGCCTCAAAAAAAAAAAAAAGAAAAGAAAAGAAAAGAAAAACCACAAAATACCAAATACGATTGTGTTCACCCCTGCACCAGCACCTCCAATCCCCCCAGGGCCTCCTGGAATTCACCCAAAAGCCTGCTCTGGCATTTGAACCCACCATCACCTCTTCCCTCTCACTACTTTCCCCCTGTGCCATGGACCCCAGGCTTTGACCACACCACGGAATCATGGGCTCCAAACCCTCTGAATTTCACTGTGTGTTGCTCTCCTCTGCCTGGAACACTGTTGAGCCCCTGTCTGATTCTCTGATAGACTAATTCTCCTTCAAGGCCCAGTCCAAGCCTCTCCCAGCCATCCAGGCAGGCACCCTCACTAGGAGCAGGCTGAGTCTGCTTCCCCACAAGCCCAGACTGGGCCTGACTCCCATCCACAACCAACACAAAGTCAGGCACAAGGCCAGGTCTGGTGGTTCACACCTATAATCCCAGCACTTTGGGAGGCTGACATGGGCAGATCACTTGAGGTCAGGGGTTTGAGACCAGCCTGGCCAACAAGATGAAACCCGTCTCTACTAAAATTACAAAAATTAGCTGGGTGTGGTGGCAGGCATCTGTAATCCCAGCAACTCGGGAGGCTGAGGCAGGAGAATCACTTGAACCTGGGAGGCGGAGGTTGCAGTGAGCTGAGATCGTGCCACCACACTCCAGCTGGGGCGACAGAGCAGGACTCCATCTCAAAAACAAACAAAAAATCAGAATTAATAAATGGCATATTCCCTCAGCCCTTTACCCAGGCATAAAGAACAAAGCAAATGTGTCCTGCGAAGGCAGGGAGTTTTGTCTGTGGTGTGTTCACTGCTGGTTCTCCAGCGGCTCCACGGCACCTGGCATATTGTAGGCGCTCAGTAATTATGTGTTACAGGAATGAATGAGTGAATGGTGCGACACTCAAATCCGGCTGCAGCTCTAAAGATGGACACAGGGACACAGGATGTGATGACAATGGCAATTCCTCTCACTGATCAGTGGTTTCAAGCTCATCACATTCATGATCACTTATGGGCTACCCAAAGTGAGTCACCTGAATCATAAATGAATTTCTTATGCAGTCTCCTACCCAGTGCCCCCCCCCCCTTTTTGGGGGGATGGAGTCTTGCTCTGTTGCCCAGGCTGGAGTACAGTGGCACGATCTCCACTCATTGCAACCTCTGCCTCCCAGGTTCAAGCAATCCTCCCACTTCAGCCTCCCGAGTAGCTGGGACTGTGACCACAGGCACATGCCATCATGCCCAGCTAATTTTTTTTGTTGTTATTGTTTTTGAGATGGAGTCTCACTCTGTCTCAAGGCTGGAGTGCAGTGGTGCAATTCGGCTCACTGCAACCTCTGTCTCCTGGGTTCAAGTGATTCTCTTGTCTCAGCCTTCCCAGTATCTGGGACTACTGGTGTGCACCACCACACCCAGCT